AGTTAACGAAACCATATTACGTTATTATGTACTAAGTTTTAAATAATAGTTTTATTATGAACTAGTGTATTTTGGCAAAGTAATCGATAATATTTATTTTTCATTAAATGTTTACACGCATATTACATGAATAAAATAATAATAAATTTAGTAAATTATAACATAGTAATAAGAATATGGCATTAAGTACTTTATCATTTACAATAACATGCCTGAATTTCACAATTTTTTCAAGTTACGTAATTTGGTTGTATTATGATACTCAATAGAGATGTGATGTGCCTATTTATTTTCGTTAAATGACATCAGCTGATCGAAACTGTTCATGGCGAAATTTCCATAAATAACGTAGTTTGTACTAAAACAACTTTGCTAAATAGTTTCATACCATTAACTGAATCCGACCTTCAAATATGACTACACCTTGCTGTTACACCCTGTATATCATTATGTCGATTTTTTTACAAATTCATTTAAAGATATAATAAAGAGTTGGGCAGATACATACATACAAATATTACTACAAATGTGAAAATAAGCTTGTGCTATAAGAAATGTACCGATATTACAACTAAACGTAAACTTTTGAGTTTACGCCAAAATTAGCTTTTGTTTTGTAATATTCCTAAAAAAATACATTTGACATTATGAAAATTCGAGCTAACGTTATTTCGGGCAAATGTATTTTCTGACTTCTGATAGGTAGTCCCAAGCAGTAAAACGAGTACAACAATATTTTGTTAGTTATTGCTTCCGTTTAATAAAAAAAAGTCATTTTAAAAATAAGATTAAAATCAACACAACTCTATAATTTCTTTGTTCCAAATATTTCAATCGTTTATAGTTCGAACAATTGAAAATGACCAAGAAGTATATTTAGGCTTTTTGAAATTGACGTAATGGGTCTCTTTCCGTTCTTTGCGCATGCAATGTGTAGAAAAAGGACAGTTAGCTATTTGAGTATTTTATTTGCTTTTGTAATTTATATTTACGATTAATGTATATATAAATTAAATACTTTAAAACTGTACCAAATAACACTTTTAAATGAAAACTATGAAACCCAATATATTTGTTTAGTGAAAATATGATACAAAATCCTGTTTTTACACTTTACTGCAGTAATTTTTACAAGTTATTATTATACAGGGTGTAAATTTGAGACCTTCAGCAAGACCAGCTACCTTAACCGTTGTTGTTACAGGAAAACGGTTCGAGAAGACTATCCATGAATTAGGAAGATATTTTGATTGGCATTCACAGATTTTAAAAAAATGGTACAGTCAGCAAGATAAAAAGCAATTTGTACAAAACTTTTTTTTATGCTATTCGATCCGCAGGCTTATTACCGAACTTTAGCAACTGGTTGCTAATTGTACAATAGCAATGCGATTTCTACCAGTTGCGATTGCTAAGTTGGTATTACGAATGTATATCACAAACTGATTGCTCTCTTGGTGCATTTGCGACTAAACTGTATGGAAACTAGCGCCACTCTCAACTAAACGGCAATCAATGACAAACACAAACGTCAAAAAACAACAAGAAATAATTATATTTACGTTTTCTTAATCTTAAATTGATCTATAAAAACAAAAATATATCTTAGATTGGACATACAGAAATATGCAGACAATGTATTTTAAATGTTTCAAACAAGAAATTTGTTGTTTCGTGTTTTTGGTTACCCAAGAAAGTTTGAATTGCAGTGACGATTCACTAACACTTGAAAGTTAAGTGGTCGACGAAACAGTATAAATCACTATAATAAAAATGCCAACTATGTCTACGTTATTGAGTTCTGCTTCTATGGATTCATTTCGTTCATATTACCAGCGTTTTGGTGTCGTGAAATTCAGACTGTGAAGATGGAAAGTCGCGTCTCAAACGATCAGTTAGAAATGTTATTTGACCATCTTCTAAGGCACCTTTGCATTGGCTAAAGGTTTCAGTCTAAGTGGAAGTTCACAAGAGACATCTGAAAGGCTGTGGAACGAATTAGCCACCAAATAAATGCTCTTGGCAGTGGAACAAATAAAAGTGATGCACAATGGACACTTAGAATGAAGAAAATTTAAGTAGAGTAATTGATATAATTGCAAATGTATCTAAAACCAATGCCAAAGCTGCAATGTTTCAATCTGAGGCCGCTCAAATACAGTCCAAGCCCTAGTGAATATTGTACAATTACTCAAAAAATAATTAAGACAAACTAGTGGTTAATTGTTATTATTCTTAGTATCATTTTGTTGTCTTATTGTAGTAAAATTTTAATTAGGTATGAATAAAAAGTGGCAATCAATAAACACCTTTTAATTTTCAACTTGCATTGTAAAATTACATATATTAACATTTTGTACAATTGCTTACAGTCATCTCCTACCATCCCATCTGTCAACATTTTGCACTGGTTTTATTATGAGTGAAGGACCAATTGGAAGTTTTATGAAAGTAAATAATTCAATTTAAGGCTTTTATTTCATACGTTCATTCATAAGGGTTAGTAACAGAACACTTTAAAATAGAGTTAGTATTACAAATAATTCTTTTTCCTCACAGTGATATGCATTCAAGTCCAGAGCTCATGAACCTAGCCCTGTACCCTGAATGCAATAACACTTGGCAGGCCATTACTGCTGCCACAAATTCAGCACATCAAGGAAGCCAATGTTTTTTGCATTAGTAATAATAGTTTAATAAGAGTTTGGGTGTAATTTGTGGTTATCTATGTGTGTGTCCATGGCAACCGCGACACGGTTTCCCTAGTGCGGGTTATGTTGAGTGTATGCGTTTATAATGTCCCTGCCTGTCAACCTCTTGGTTATACGAGAAGAGCACTATTACCTGTGCAAGCAAGCACACGCAGCGACCGCGACACGCTGTATGCCTCGCGATACTGATTTTCAGGCCGACCTTGTTGATACATGGTTTTCCAACATAATCCAATTGAACTATACCATCGCAACGTTAAACATCGAACATTAATAATTATATCGGTTGAAATTATTAATAACATTTAATAGATCAATTTAAAAAAAAAATGATTCTATGACTATGCACGACTAATTTACATTGTAATGAACAATAATAATATTATTAAAAAAAATATATAAACCAGACAATATTCTCAGTTACACCACTTACGCTGGCTCGCTGTCCGCACCGTCTCTTACCAATAAGAAGAAGAAAAGCAGTTAACTTCACATAGATTAAAATAACATTCTTCCCGTTTTACTCATACGAAGTTGTCCTGTTACAAGAAGGAGTTACATTACTTTTTGTCGCTCTAATAATTCTCTTTTCGTGTGCGTCTTAACTAAGTGACCTTATCACTCAGGTCCTGACTCCAGATCAGCCCCGTTTACACAGACATCATCTGGCTGTAGGTACAGCTCTGTACCTTTCTACATTAGTATTGGTTATAGTGACCCTCCCTACCGACCCTTACTACTATATACCGAATAGTACTATAACCTGTGCGTGCACAGGAACATTCTAATTTCAGGTTCTGACACCAGGACCCCGATTGAGAACTCTTCGATATTTTAACCGAATCGTTCGATTGAATATTGTTCTCAAGTCGAAGGGCGCTTTCCGAATTATCAGAACATTCCGAGTAAAACGTTTGATTCAGGTACTCGGATACGATATCATCATCCAACACCATTTACGGAGTTAGTTGGTGAAATAGATTATAAGAAAGATGAAAATCTTTTTAAATATATTTTTAAGACTTTAAAGGTGCTAAAATATAGGAATATATTAGTCTTGCATTAAAATAGATGAATAAAGTTGAAGAAAATCCAGACTTTATTTAAATAATAAGAGATTTCCATGTTACGTTCTTGCTTTGTAAACAATAGGACGTTCGGTAACTTTCATTCGATAACTGTGTTCTGAATAACGTTTGTAGCCTTTGCCGGTCGAGAAGTTCGAGTAGTACGGATGTGACGTCATTTCGGTTCGGTTTCGAATACGACGACAGTTTGACGTTCCATTCAGGTGTTGTGAATAAAAATGAAGAGATATCTGTCGACAACTGAGTTATCACAAAGTTCTGAATCGACCCCCAGATCAGCCGTAGGTACCGATTAAACACAGAAACTATTGTACAATAGTTTTATTGTACATACGGTGTTTGTCATAGCAGTGAACAGGCACAGACTCAGAATATGTCCAAGTACTAAGGCACTAATTTTCAGTCGGGACTAACGCGGAACCAAATGTATAAGTAATTTATACGCAAAAAAAAAATAATTATTCGTGAAGTTATTGTGTAACATTAAGTGTAAAATAATGCATCTAAAACAACCTATTAGATGTGTAAGTGCTTGTGCGAATGTAAATATAAGTATTATGAGCATATTTGTTACAGAATTGATTTCGTTACCAGTGAGTTAACTGTAAAAATAGAAAGGAAGAAGGCGATAATGCATTGATTAATTGTTTATTAGACTTCATACCGTTGCTTATTAATGAGTTTGGCAATCAATCGATAAAACTCTCGACAACGACTACATGACTATTTAAAATTTATTTTATGAATTTATATTTAGAGAATAGTGGCGACCCTGCAAACATAATTTTACTCAGTCACAGAAAAAAAATTGATATACAGTATCGAGTTCCTAGGTTTTCGCGATTGTCACACATTTGAAAAGACTATTTGTTCGTGTCAAAATCAACCGAAAAGTTGATTTGTTTGAAAAAGACATATAAACACATATTTACTTAAAACAAACCAACTTTTCGGACTCTTTACAGGTCTCATGGTAATAACTGATGTGAGCTGTGACTATTATGCGATTTAGATCCGAAAAAATTGTATCCGAAAAATTCGATCTGAAAAGAATATAGTATACCAACTTGATATTATAGACATTCCAGGTGATATGAATTTGCGTTTGTAAATCTAAATTCTTGTAGAGCTATTATCGTAGTCTTCATTTCAACTTGCTATCGCATTATATGCCTTAATGTGCGATTGCTTGTTTATTCAGGCTTCAACATGTCAACTGGCGTACCGAAGGTGGGCGTGTTGCAAAACGCCGCGTGGAACCTCTCGGATATGTGTCGTTTCAAGCTGATGCCGCCGCCGCAGCCTGACCGCTCGGTTTCTGATAAGGAGAAGAGGGAGTTACAGGTTAGATACCGTCTTCATAAAGATTGTTTATAAGTGATGAAAGGTATATGTCGGTTTAAGCTTGAAGTTACTGACACTCCTTGAAGAAACCCTCGCTTACATAGCCAATAAGGACTAGAATAAACAAATATAATATCTGAACAACATTTGATGACATTTAACGACAGATACAAAGAAAGTTTAGAAGGAACTACTGCTTACATTTTAATTATATTGAGATTTTTAAAAACCTTCCAATTGTTTCAGAATCAGTCCCCACTCACGGTATCATCGGTAAAGGCGTCATCCTCGAACAGCAACTCTAAAGACAGTGGCAAAGACATGGCCGATAGACTGGACATGCCGCCGCCGCCCAGCCCCGCCTCTTCCACGTGCAGCGATACCAGCACATCACATAGTGAGTTTATTATCCGTAGTGAATTTCTAGATAAATTTATACGATATAACAAATAATGCGCTTGGCACTGCGACGAGACGCGCTTTAACATGAAAATATCTACATAAATTATGTGGTGTGTTTGAAAAAAGTTAAAAACTTAATGCAATTTTGAAGCTGTTATACTAAACATCATATCCGTACGTCCTTGTTGAAAATTGAATTTGTAAAAATGGGTGAAACGTTGTCTTCGATATAACAACATTTTTATATTTAAGCCGTCTAAAAATAAAAATGCATGGTGGCTCGAATTATGTGTTCGAATGTGTATTTTGAGTAATAAATAGGCAATACTTCAAGCGTTCTGAAGAACGAAGAATGTTACTTTCCCGCCTCTTTTAGCACGAATTTATATAGCGACAACTGGTTTCTTCAGCAATTACTAAATTTCTACCAGTAACTCGATTGCGGCTTGCCGTATTCGACAACGCTCTACTTTACTTAAAGTCCGTTTTTATTGAAGATGGAAAAATTTGACATTTGCAGGGTTGCCAGTTTTCGTAAAATTTTAAATAGTCATGTAGCTATTGTCGATAGATTTATCGATAGGTTGGAAAGATGATAATAGTTTCCAAAAAATGTATGAATTGTGAGACTTATAACATTCTAATGATTAGTAATTGCGTTATCGCCGTCTTTACTCTTATTTTGACGTTTGGCCCGCGAGTATCAAAATCAATTCGTAAAGTATCTACAGACGCACGTTCAAATTATTGCCCTATTGTAGACTATGTACAATACCACCTGAACTCGTTTTTATTCATATACATTTTTAATAATGCTAGTTGGATTTGATTATCTATACTGAATTACAATGAAAAACCACAAAATTTCCCCTTTTGATTTTTAATAGATGTGATGAACTTACAAAAGTTGACAATTCAAATGTACTTATAAATTTTACAATTCAAATGTACTTATAAAATCTACAATTCAAATGTTGACTTAAAATTAAATATGTATAATGCACACTGGGCGGATTCACAAATTACGAAACAAATGTATATATACGTGTTTCATATACATTTTTTTTAATTCGAAATTAAATTAGTCCTCTTCTGTGTTAGACGAGGTAATGGTATCGTCGGAATCCGATACATGTATAATAAATGTATCACATACGTCGTCAATTAAATGGTCGAGTTGGCGCATTTTCGTTTCGACATCGTTGATAACGTGGTCTACACAATTTTTCCACTTTTGTGGCGTTACATTAGTTATCCCTTCTCCAAGCAATATTTTAGCTTCATTCATTTTAAAAGTTTTGTTATTTCTTGCGACGTGCCCCTTTACCTGTGCCCAAACTAACTCGATCGGATTTAGTTCACAATGGTAAGGGGGCAATCGCAAGACGGTAACGCCATAGGCTGCAGCCAACTCGTCCACTGTATACTTTATATAGTTTCTCTTTTCCCTCCTTACTATTACCATTAATTCTGTTTTCACCATTGAAAGTTCAAAAGAAATATTTTTTGAATTCAGCCAATTTTGTACATCTGCTTTTCGCCACGCTGTAGTAGGTGTCTGCTCCAGTCGTCGTGAGTGGTAAGGCGCGTTGTCCAATACCAAGATTGAACCGTTTTTCAACTTTGGCAGCACCAGCTTCAACCACTCTTCAAAATGTGCGGCATCCATTTCCTCGTGATAATCGGCTTTGTTTTTTTTGGCTTCGAAAATCAGCTGACATCCTTCCACGAAACCCTCTTCATTGCCAATGTGGCTAATTATTAATCTCCTCCCCTTTCCTCTAGAGTCCGTTAATCCCGTAGAATACCCTTCTAAAAATGCATCTTTGCGTTATTGGATTTGTGTATCTTGCCAGACTTTTTTCATTGTGTGACCTGCAAAAAAACAGGAGTAACTTATAGATTTTAGTATTATTTTTGCGTAAATTTGTAGTAGTTACTTGAGTCATTGATTAAGTAGGTAGGTATATTACCTTCATTAACCCAAGTCTCATCTTGGTAATATATAACCTTTCCCTCCCGTCGATATTGCTGGATCGCTAATAAATATTTTTTTCGCCACAAAATTATATCTTGACGGTCAATTAAGCAACTTTTCCTGTTTCTTGTCGCATATTTAAAATTTAAATGTTTGAGTATTTTGTAAGTTGTACTTCTCGATAAGTTAGGTAGCGTATCATCATCATTGATGGCTTCCTGGACCTGGAAGTAGAAATTGTTAGTCATGAAAATCTAGTTCAAGTAGTATTACTTTTTATCAATTAATACAGGTATAGACGACCACACTAATCTAAAAAGACCACGAAACCATCACGTCGGAGAGGCGCAGTGCCAGCACGTGCGCAGATAAGAACAAAAGCATTGGTTTTTTGCTAATACCACTGCTAAACTAAAAAACAAAAGCTATTGTCCCGCCGCGCGGTTGCACTCTCTATTCCGTTTTCTTATCTAGGCACCTGCTTGCATCGAGCCGACACTACGGTTTCATGATCTTTTCTAAATGGACTGAATGACAATATCGTCAAATAGATGCATAATATCATAAAATTTGATCAAATTCGATTTACGGTAAATATTAGTTACAAATAATTACCGTCCTCGTTTTCAGATGTTCATGGGCTATAAACCTGATTTTTAAGTTCGACGTTAACGAAGTGTCGGGAAAAACCCGAGTGCTGGCCCATCTCTGGTGCGAATTACGCAATTTGACTGTAATGATAGCTTTAATTGACAAACACGTCGTACGCCAAGATTTCTGCACCTAAACAACTACAGCAAGTTATTTAAATAATCTACCAAAGTGAATATTGATTTGCGAATGCTTACCTTGGCAATAGTTGGACCTTCGTTTCGGAAAAAGAATTGATGAACCTTGCGTCTTATGGCCTCCAAATGGAATTCATCGAATTTTTCTATGTAGCTTTTTCGCCTGCCTTTCGGTTTAGGGGGCTGAAAGTTCATATTTTCGCATTTTTCTTTTAGAACTGTATAAACAGTTGATTTTGAAATGCCCAGAATGTCAGCCGTTTTTTTAGCACATTCTGTTTCACTGGCAGCTTCTAAAAGATTTGGATCGCAACCCTTGTTTTCTTCCTGAACAATGTATTTATGTACATTCTCCGTCATCATCTTCTCAGTAGTACTGAGAGCAATACGTTGTCTTTTCTTTCGAGGCGATAAAATGCCCGAAGAAGTGGATGGTCCTGGGTTGTCGATATTGCGATGCAATACACAACAAATACAGTAACAAAAAAAAACTTAACACGATAACAGAAAACAATAACGTGAACTAACAAAAGAAACGTAATAAGCGCGAGCGCAAGTGAGCACATCCGAACAAGCCAAAGAGTGGTAGTCGAATGCGGCAAATTCAGCCGGCCCGCTGTGCCCGTGCGGCGTTTTATTTATTTGTTTAAATTTTAGTAGCTACTTTTGTCTATAATAAGTAATATAATAACGACTCGCATATACCAATTACCAGCATAAGTAAAGATGACGTATATTTATATTATACAGTTTTTTACGTTTTTCAATGTTAATTTATAATAAAAAAAATAAAAGCAATAGTAGCCCAGCAGTGGCACGAATAATTGGCCGATGATGATTCAAATTTAACAAGTTCGGACAATCATTGCGTAAGCGTAACCAATATTCAGTCGATAATTCATTCATTCATTCATTCATATTTATCGACTGCAATCACTAGGTACTTGAGAACGGGCAACACTTTTGCGCAATGAATTGTCAAATTTTTCCATCTTCACTAAAAACGGACTTTAGGTAATGTCTAAGTAATATGTAATGCGTTTTGTAGAACGAGCCAAACGCGTGACTGTCCGGGGAGAGGAAGGCTCCTCCAACGACGGCTCCAAACGTGACGAAGAGGAGTGGCCGCTCAAGGAGGTTGTATTCCTGGAGGACGTGAAGAGCGTGCCGCTTGGCCGCGTGCTCAAAGTCGACGGCGCTTACGCCGCTGTTCGATTCCCGACCGTTGGGAAAGATGGCAAAGAAATCGTTCCTTCCACCCCGGATGATTGGATGACGTTGTTGCAAGATTGCCGTCTCGTGCGCAAGGACGATTTAGTTGCGGTGAAGTGGGGCGCGGGAGGGGCCGCTGGCCCTCGTGGTCCTGATTGTCTGCAGCGTTCGCCAAGGAAGATTGCTTTGCCTCCAGAAGTTCAAGTCATTACCATTGCTGTAAGTTTTTACATTTCCTTAAATAAACTTATATCAAGCTATGTTTTCTGTATACTGTAGTCAGATTTTTGTCTATTTTCATTTTAGGTGGACAACCGTGGCGTACATGCTGTAGTTCGTCGCGCAGGTGGTGCGCTCGCGTACGCTGTGTACGCTGTGGGAACCACGCGCGCTCTTACCGACAGTACCTTCCCCACTGACAATACCGCATTGCTTGGGCATTCTAACGGACAGGCTATACATCTTGCCACCGCTGCTGAGGTCAGATTAAAAACTGCGGCATTGTATTCCTTTATGATAAGAACCACTTTAAATTGTAGGTAATAAAATCTCGACAAATAAAGGACGCCCTTCTGTTATTACTTCTTGTGTAATGGTCGTAAGTTGTTCCCACCACATATGTGTCGTCATGTCGTTTAGATGTCCGCTATGTAGTTATCTAAGTTTATATTGTGAATTCAACAGGGCAGCGAGCCCGTAGTGATGATGTTGGATGGGAACGGTGCGCTGTACCCAGTAGCACGCGACTGTGTAGGCATGGTGCGCGAGCCGCCGCCACTCAACCTACCGCCAGCACGGGCGTTGGCTGCGCACGCGCTGCCGTTGCACCCACATGGCGCAGCGCATTCGCACCATGCTGCGCTCAAGTCGCAGGTAAGGGTTACGATGACATTCGTCCCAACACTTATTTTATTAACTATTAATTCCTGGTGTAAGGCGGTGGCGACCTTGGGGAAATAAACGCCCCAGAGGGAGACCGCATATGCACTGGAAAGATAACATGAAGAATGTGGCGAGGTTGAATTGGATACAGTTGGTACAGAACCGAGAGAAGTAGCAGAAACTGAAGTAGACCTACTCCGATACGGTTGAGAACGGCTTTAATTTTAACGCTAAAGATACGTAAAAGCACATGTTTGGTTTTAGATTCATTCTGGTGAATTGGGAAATAATTTTCTAAACAGAAGTTTGCATACTATATTTAGTACCCTTTGGCCGGACGTGCATTACATTTCCGAGTCAGAGGTCGTGTTATTTTTAGATTGTATGTAACTAATTACATTATTTACGACACAGGTGGCACTAATAATATTAGTACCGGAGCCACAACTGATGATGCCGCGCGTTCTGCGGTGTGATCTTGAAGGAGTACGTACGCTACTGCATCAACTGGAGGCTGACTCTAACAGTGTGTACTTTTAAGTATATTAGAAAAGCATACAATGAAATTACTGTCTCTTAAACTAGGCTAAATCCGTAACTAACTCGATTTATGTAAGTCCAGTGCTATTAAAAATATAGCGAAGTGTCTGCAGAGTTGTGTTACGATGTGAAATTTATTTTTAAAATATGATTGATGCTTGCCCGCCGTGGCAGCAACAATACTATCTAGCTAACATTGGCTAATTCTTTAACTAATTAAGTACTTATCGAGTCCTTAGGTTTTCGCGTTTTTTACACATAAGAAATGAAATAATTTTTCGCATCCTAATCGCGTGTTTGTTTTTTCAAAGTATTTTTTTTCCAAATATAAAGCATAATAAAATGTAAAAGGCCCGAAACGGTTGGTTCGTTTGATACGCGATTTAGATCCGAAAAAATAGTTTCATTTCGTATTTAAGTACTGTAACTTATCTCTTTAATATTTTGTTAGGCAGTCAGTAAAGTTATTATTATTATTTAATTTATTATGCTTTCATACATATATGAGACGTTAAAACAATACGGTATTGATGACCCAACGTTCGATTTCATTTTCTCGTACTCCAAGCAAAATACCAATGTTTAAATCGGTTGTAAAATACATATAACATTGATCGTTTTTCACCCTTGTTATTATAATCTGTATTGTAATCTACTATTTTTTCACAGAACAACAAGTCTTATCGATTCTCCAAGAACGTTGTGATGGCAACAGAAACATACTACACGCTTGTGTGCACATGTGTGCTCCTACGTCTAATAAGGAACCTGACATAGGTAAGTTGTTCCGTAAATTGTTAGAAATAATTAAGATATTAATGAAATTATAAGTGATTATATAAATGATATGGTCTTGTCTATAAACTATAATAACCATTTGACATTACACATGCATAGTGTCTTCACACTATGCCACATGCATAGTGTCTTCACACTATGCATGTGTAATGTCAAATGGTATGACTGGTAGCCTAGGCCTAACATATGATATAGAGTAGTAATTATTTATAGTTGTAGTAACACAAAATAGCAACCCATGGAAACATACTCTCAGAGGACGTTTGCAAACCACTAATTACAAACAAATACATATCAAAATATTAACTATCACTTCCCACAAATTAGCACAAAAAACTTTGTATTTATGATTTATGGAAGGTATGATTGCGAGTTTCACCATTTTTAGTTCACGCAGTTGTTTGGCGTTTTACCGTCATATTGTGTTATGGTGACAAGTAAAATTTTTCATATGGTTTTGTGTACAGTTGAGAATTCGATGCCGAATCTGGCAGGCAACCCCGGCAGTGGCGCTAGCGCAGAGGAAGCGATGCCGGCGCTCTCCTGGCCGCCGGAGACCTTCGAAGCGTCTGGAGATGAGGACAGCCTGATGGGACTTACTAATAACGGGTAAGGTATTTGGCAACTAATGTTGAAGAAACGCAATTTGTTGCAACGAGAACGTGAGTTAACACTTCACACTAGGAACATCAAGAGTTGCAGAATGACGACAGACGAAACGACAATTAGTATGACTCGTAATTCAATTAGTAACTAAATTACGTATATTATTACGTTTATTAATGTTGGACCAAGAACAATGTAGACTACATTGATAAGGATATGCAATAAAGACGAAACCCTAGTAACAGTAGTAACCGAGAGTCGTTTACAGCAAAATGTCAAGCGGCGGCAACAGCGGCAGCGGCGCCGTGAGCGCAGATCCTGCTGAGCGTCGCGGCAATGCCCTTTCGGCCCTGCGTGCCCTTTGCGAGAGTCCTGTACTACAGCCTTACTTAATGCAACTACTTACTGCTAAGTAAGTACATTTCTCATAAATTACCCTTTACAGCGTGGTTTAAAAAAGTGAAAACTAGTTCGTAGCTTCAAGTTTTCAATAATTTGACCTCAAATTGCTGATCTAAGTAATATTTGTGTCCAAGATATCGATATGACGCTATATTAAACAAAAGTAGCTGTTTGTTATGTTTTTCATAATTTTATTATTTAGGGATGGAATGGGCCAAACTCCCCTAATGGCGGCTGTAGCGGAACGGGCATACCGTGCGGCTTTAGTTCTTGTAGACGCGATTCGCGCATGCCCGGATGTGGATGAGGCCCAGCGTACCGCTGCCATATTCCCTCCCACAGCGCACCCCGATCACTCTCCGCTTCTCGTTCTCTGCTGCAATGATACCTGCAGCTTCACGTGGACCGGACAGGAGCATATCAATCAGGTACTGAATAAACATTTGTTTTCATTACTTTTGCACATGAATGGTCGTTAATTGAATTTTGTATTTGTCAAGGTTATTAATTGTTCTTACATGTTAATAGTTTATGTACAAAAATATTTACAAGTTGATGATAATCATCTAACGTTATGATATTTTCGGTTTCTTGTATAGGATATTTTCGAATGCAAAACTTGTGGACTCACCGGATCCCTTTGCTGTTGCACTGAATGCGCTAAGGTGTGCCACAAGGGCCACGACTGCAAGCTAAAACGCACATCGCCGACGGCCTACTGCGATTGCTGGGAGAAGTGCCGCTGCAAAGCTCTCGTTGGCGGCAACTGGACCGCGCGTTGCGACTTGCTCGCACGCCTTGCTAGGGATACTAACCTCGCTACACACTTCAACTCCAGGTAATCTTAACAAAATCGAAACAAACTATAGACTAAAGCGCTAGACTGTCCGTAACTTTGATTATTTTACTAGAGTATTTTCGACAACTTTTTATGTAACGAACACGATGAGCTGTGATTGAGATATATGATTACTACTAGGTTTTAAAATCAGCATCGTTATTGTCACACAGGGGCGAGTCAGTCCTGCTGTTTCTTGTACAAACTGTGGGACGACAAGCCGTAGAGCAACGTCAATTCCGCGCAGGCGGCGGGCGGGGCCGCGGGCCGCGCAAGCAGCCTGGCTCCGACGCAGAGGTCGACGCTCCCGATCACGATCTCGAGCCACCACGATTCGCAAGACGCGCGTTGCTGCATTTGCTTGGTATGCATTATACACAATACACAAGTCTCAAAATCAGCCTCTACGCTATAAAATATGTGGTGTAAACATCCCTAGGAAATGTATAACTGACCTAATTTTTGCGTTGCAACCGTTACACTCACCCGACTCGTGATACAAATGCAATACGATCTCACGTTTTAAAATACGGTTAAACAAATAAATGACCACTTGAATGCAATAATTTACAATTACAGAAGAATATAGAAGAATATGAATTTTTTTATTAGATAAAGATTTTACTTATCGAATGAAAGACAAATAAATAATCCAATTCGTTTGTCCAGGTGACTGGCCTGCTGTGGAGGCGGCGATAATGTGCGGATCGTCGTGCGGCAGTGGCGACGGCGAAACCCGCTCCGGGAGTCCCGCACCACACCAGTCTGGGACCACTTTGTTGGACAAATTCACGCATGCACTTATCGTGAAGTGCACTAATGAAGTAAAAGGCTTTTTTATTCACTATGTAAACTTTATAGGGAGGGAGTTGTCAACGCGACTGGGTTATTGCCTTACTGCAATAATTATGCTGATTAAGTTATGTGGTATTGTACATAAGATATTCAAGTGGAAGTTAATTTTAAAATGACAAATACAAGTATTAGAAACACTTAATCCTTATGACAATGTGCATACGGAAGTTTATATAATTATGACATCAATCTTCAGATGCTAGACACCCTGCTGCACACTCTTATCCGCGAGCAACAGAATGAAACGATCCCGGGGCGCGCTGAGCGTGCCCGCGAAGTAGCGCGTCGGTTTGTGCGCTCCGTCGCAAGGATCTTCGTCATATTTAGCGTTGAAATGGCGCCGGGAGCTGCAAAGAAGAAGGGGTAAGGGTTTCTAGATTCTTGTAAATAGACAAATTAAGCGATTACGTTATAAAATATCAACTAAGGCTCATTTGTTCCAGTAATTTAAAGATTAGTACAAATTGTGATAATGAAGTATAAAGCAGGATGCAAGTTAGAAGTGTGCAATTTAACAATAAAACCAAGCGATTGTTTTTATAAAGTATAGCTTTATTTATTTATTTATTCAGGACATTCCACCATAAGTCAATGCATTCCACATAGAAAAACACTACACTTTAAATATCGAACATAATAACTTAAAACTAAGTGCACACTTAAGGAATATTACAGCAATGACAACAATATGCTGTGAAATATTAATAAAATTATTGCTGTTTTAAATTATGCGAATATATTATAATGAATCTATCTACTTATAAAATCGATATACACGAACTGATTTAAATAATAAAAATGTTAAAATATAAATTTGAGAGAGTTTACTGAGTACCATAAAATGAATTGAAATGTAATTTATGTATTTATAATATCACCCAGCCTTCTTTTGTAACTGTTTAACCCAAGACCAATGTCCAAATCATGTGATTTGGAAAGCGAGTTATACATCCTGCAGAGCCTTGGCATAAGAATGAAATGGTTCGAGATTCGTTTTTGAAACTGGTATGGCAAAAAAGTTGTAAGCGCTTTTCCTGGGCAACCAACAAAAATTGAATATGTTGCTATAATAACTCAGGGCAATCTAATGAACCGTTAACAAGTTTATTTAGGAATATTAAATCAAGTCTCTTTCTACGGTTGACCAAAGTTGTCAAATAGTAATGCTTGAGTCTATGTGAGTACCCTGGAAGTCTCTTAGCACTAAAATCGCCATTTGCCAAGTGATACAGAAAGCGTTTTTGAACACTTTCCATACGTTTGATGTACACTTCGTAATGAGGAGTTCAAATAACACTGTTGAATTCTAGTCCAGGTCGTACTAATGCTTGAAAGAGTTTTATTTTTGATGAAGACTTGAAACCCTTTGCATTGCGCAGAACGAAACCCATCATCCCAAAACCCTTGTTTACCGCTTTTATAATATGTGAGTCAAACCTCAAATTTATTCTGTATACCAAAACCCCCAAGTCCCGAATCTCGTCTACTGTCCTTAATTCCTGTCCGTCAATATTGTATTTGTATAAGTTGTTAAGCTTATTGCGTGAAAAACGTATATGATGACGTTTAGCAACATTTAATATCATTTTATTGGATGTGCACCATCTATATAAATAATATCTTCTTGGAATAGTTCTGAATCCTTGGAAGACTTAATTGGTTTTATTATATTTAAGTAATCGGCGAAAAGGTATAAACTCGAGTTTTTTAAACAATGAATTACGTCGTTAATAAATACGTTGAAAAATATAGGACCCAAGTGAACTCCTTGGGGAACCTCAGACAGAGCAACAAAAAAATTTGAACTAAAACCGTTTACCTTAGAATGCCGATAACATAAGTAGGACTTAATCCATTTAAGCAATGACCCATCAATGCGTGAAAGCGAAAATTTATTTAAAATAATTTGATGATCAACTTTATCGAACGCTTTGCCGATGGCGTCCACTGGAATTCGCTCATCTACTAATTTAGATATACTAGATATAAATATCGCTAAGTTTGTAGTAGTTGATCTTGACTTAACGAAACCATGCTTATGCGTAGTAATAAAATGCTTCAGGTGCCAAACTAGATGCTTAGTGACAAATTTTTCTAGAACCTTTCCAATAAATAATAAAAATAATATTAAACTCTAAGGGTCGTATTCTAGAACTCTATTCAATGCTCAAGTCAGGATTGCACTGGCAACACAAGCACTGGAAATAAGACCCTAATGGCAGGGACCTGAGTATGATTTCGAGTGCTTTAAAACATACTCAAATCCTGACTTGAGTGCGAGTAGAGTTCTAGAATACGACCCTAAAAGTGCATAGATGCGTCGTATGTTGTCGTACGTTGCTATAAGTGCAGCATCGGGTTATAACACTCAACAACATGCTTCGATCACTAAACTTGATTTATTATTCTCACAGGCCGTTATCTATAACATCGTCACTCGTCCGGTGTCGGCGAGTTTTCGCAGCCTTAGTGGCACTCGCAGTCGAAGAGTTAGTGGAAGCCGCAGACGCCCTTCTGGCCCCAGTACGACTAGGCGTCGTACGACCCACCGCGCCATTCCCCTTGGCTACCACATACGTAGACCTTGTCAATGGCAGCGAGGACTTGTTTGGTGTTGAACCACTCTCGACCGGACATTCACGACTAGCACACGCCAGACGGTATGATAAACTATGATATAAAACTAGAAGACTTGTTTATTGCTTAACCGAAAGAGATAAATATCTACTAATGGTCGTTATTGATTTTAAACATTTCGTCGCCTTACATTTTCAATCTCGTATCTTAAAGCACAAAGTTACTGAATTGCAAAAAATGGATTGTAGATACAAATTTTACTGATATCACATTTCCTTCATATTCACATTCTGGCTTTTACGTATTCTTAAAGTAATGCATCCAACTTAATAAGAAATTTAAAATAAATATAAAGTCTTCTCATCTCCTGAATAATCGTTCTTTATAAGATACGAGTTTGAGAACATAAAGCATCGATTTGCATTATATAATAGATATGTATTGTGTATACATACATATTTATATAATATGTATATTTATGTTAACGGAAGAAGTATCAGAAATTTGAATCCTCATCTTGCCTCGTCTCGTCTCTCCTCGCCGGTGGAAAGCACCTTAAGCGCCCAGTTACACGACGCGAAAGTTTTCGCGCGGCTATCGCCTAGTTACCCGCTTTCATGTACATTAATGGCGAATCTAAATTCTATTTACTAGGCAACAATATTTAAATTCCTCTGAATAAATATTCTATAGACCAAATTCAAGCCAGTGTCGCCCACGCGCTCGAGACGCTCATTTAAGTTAAAATGTAAAAGCTAAATAAATAGAGCGTATTTTGCCATGACAGTTAGATTCACGCGGTCGCTGCGTGGGGGCAACGCAGTCTCCGCGCGGTGCGATGAGCGCGATGAAATTCGTGTTGAATAAACGCGCCCTGACGGTTTGGCCTACCGATTTTCAAGCAGAGGTTCGAATCCGGAATTTATGTTTCCAAATTTCATTTGAAGTTTATCATGAGCTTACCGAAAAGGTAAAGGAATACATCGTGATGAAACCTGCACACCGAGAGAGGTTAATAACCCTTGTAAAACGCGTAAAGTCCCCAACCCGCATTAGGCCAGAGTGGCGGGCTATAGCCTAAACCCTCGCCCATTAGGAGGTCCGTAGGAAACCCGTGCCCGGCAGTGGAACGTATTAATGAGTTGACGATGATATACAGGGTGTCCCAAAAATAACACGCCAGAGCGACACTGTGGGTAGGTGAGCTTTATACCTACCAGAAAAAATAATTTGACCTTAGTAAAAGTCTTTTAGTTTTCGAGATATTTGCACTTTTTTATTTTTTTGGAATAACTCTACTTTTTGTTGAGTTTTTTGCTACTATTGCCAGGGTTAGCTCCTCCAGATGGTAGTTGTTTTTATTTTTCAGGTAACCTGAATAGTTTTTCCACGTACTGCAACTAATATTTTATCTGATAAATGTCATAAAATGTGAAAAAAGTTATTAATTTGGTATACCTCGTACTCTCGTACTCGTAAAAAATTAAACGTTAACTTTGAATAGCTAGTGTGATAAAAAATGTATGAAACTGAATTTGCCAATGATCTTAAAAATTGCTCCTTTAATGCAGAATCAGGAATGGTACAATATTGAGATTTTTCACAAGAACATAGTCATTTCATTTATTTTTCGTCATAACACCCCACCAGCCTAATCAGTTTCTAAACAACATTAAATTTAAACTTTTAAATGAATTAATTGCTAAGCGCTAGGTAACGGCGCATCAATCTTCTTCCCACGTTGTATTCGTAATATAGGAGTGAGATAGTTACTAGGCTTTTCTTTCTCTCTCTGAACTGGTACAAACAAACTGTGACAAATCAAACTTCCCAAAAGCATGCGGATTTAGCTACTAATATCGTAGTAGAGTGCCTTTGTGTGTCGCTTGATTTGTGGCCGTTTTTACTTAATGGAAAATAAAACAATAAAATTTAAATAATTTAATTTTTATTAGATATTATAGCAAGTGTTCAAACTGCCTCCCTCTGACTCTAATCCACATGCGACATCTTTTGACGAATGAGCTTCTCAGACGCCTCAAACTCATTTGAGAAATTTCTCGAGCTGCTTCATAGACTCGTCGTCGTAGTTCGGTTTCTGTAGTGATAGCTTTGGAGTAAACTTTATCTTTTAAGCACCCCCATTAGAAGAAGTCGAGGGGGTTCAGATCAGGTGATCTCGGTGGCCACAAAATTGGTCCCAATCGGCCAATCCATCTTCGTGGGAACGTCTGGTCGAGGTGCGTTCGGACGTCGCGAGCGTAGTGGGCTGGACACCCATCATTTTGAAACCTCATTCTTCTTAGTAATGCTATTGGCACATCTTCGAGAAGGTTTGGCAAATGGTTTTGTAAAAACTCTAAATAATTTTCGCCATTTAGAGTCGGAGGCAGTTCAACTGGACCAAATATTTCCCCATTGAAAATTCCGGTCCATAAATTAATTTTAAACTGGTGTTGGGACCGATCTTCTCTTCTCTCGTGCAGGTTCTCTAACTGCCAGCTATGGATATTGTGAAGGTTTACATAGCCATCTCTGCGACATGCTGATTCATCACTCCACAAAATCGTATTAAAAAAGTTGGGGTCTTCACTGTGCTTTTGAACCATTTGTTGACAAAACTGTACGCGTTTAGCGTAATCGCTCGGCAGTAAAGTTTGAACTCTCTGAATATGGTATGGGTGGTATCGGTGCCTTTTTAAAATTCGCTGTGCCGTAGACTTTGAAATGCCAGTCCGTCTTTCTATCAGGCGAACTGAAGTGGACGGATCTCTTGACACTTCCTGCAAAACTATTTCGTCTGCGACGGTACGAGGTCTGCCTCCACCACGATGGCCAGGGTTCCTACCCTCTCTGTATGCAGTATCAACTCTTATTATGGTCTCATGGGTCGGTTGCCTACGGTTAGGAAATCTTACCGCATACAATCTTGCTGCTAATCTTGCATTTAACGATACGATGCCGCGAGCAGAAACACGTCTAATTTCGCCGTAAACTAGGTACATGTCAGCGTAATCACTATGAGTGAATTCGGGGTTTGCTCCAACGATATTCTGTTGATCTGCCATTTTAACTGTATAAAGGCAGTATCCGGAGGCGCAGCCGTGGATCACACACAAACAACACGGTCCAAATAGTAAGCAAATCAGGGTCCAAAATAATGCCAAGTTGTTGATATGATTACTAAAAAAACTTTTCCGATCGTTATCAAATCAAAGTCCAAAGTGATGCCAAGTCGTCGAAAGTGTAGAAACGGAAGCAGCGATAAAACGAAAAACGCGTACGTAGCACAAAACACAAAGGTATGTACTAACGGGTACTACGGACCCAACCCGACCCGACCCCGCCTGGCGACCGATACCGACGTAAGAGAGAGATAACAAATAAGGGTCATACCTCTCGCTCATTTTTTACTACCTAGGGCCTAGCGACAGAGTAGTTACTCATAAAGCTCAATAATTTAACACAATTTTTGTTTAGAAACCAATTCGGCTAGTAGAGTGTTGATGTCGAAAAAAAATTAAATGACTAAGTTCTTGTCAAAAATTTCAATAGTATTGTGCAATTCCTGGTTCTGCATTAAGTGGAGTAGTTTTTAAGATCGTTTATAAATTCAGTTTCATACAATTATTTTTCACACTAGCTATTCAAAGTTAATGTTTAACTTTTTACAAGGGTACGAGGTATACCAAATTAATCACTTTTTTCATAGTTTATGATATTTCTCAGTAAAAAATTAGTTGCTGAACCTGGAGAAACTATTCAGAATACTCGAAAAATAAAAATAACAACCATGTGGAGTTAACCATGGCAATAATAGCATAAAACCCAACAAAGAGTAGAGTTTTTGCAAAAAAATAAAAAAGGGCCTACATCTCGAAAACTAAAAGACTTTTACTAGGGTCAAAATATTTTTTTCTGGTAGATATATAGCTCACCTACCCACAGTGTCGCTCTGGCGTGTTATTTTTGGTACACCCTGTATATAATATTAAAATATAAACATTGTTATAGGGAGTCAAGTGTCGCCGGAGCTCGCGGCAACGTAGCTAGTGGTACATCAATGGGCAGCTCTACTCTAGTGCCCGACCGGTCCTCGACGCCCGTAGCGACTGAATACGCAGATGACGTCGCCGGTGAAGCTCTGGGTGGCGACGATGACGCGTCAGAGACTGATGAACCGAATGCGCCTGCGCCTGTACCACCTACTGATGCTCAACATGATGATGCTATGGGCGACAGGTAAGGTTTTAAAATTGATTAATGAAAAAGCAATTTATAATCGAGGATTCTTTGCCGTTAGTTGACAAAGGTTTTGCATCAAGACCATCGATCTACTCTTGTCTACACGTATCAATTCGTATGTGATCTACGGCACTGTATGTTTTTTGCACCGTACAATACTATGCTAACTTAACAACCTACATATTGCACGTGTAAATGCTCGTAAAAGCCAGTTGGCTTCACCTGTGATCGACCACAGATAAGCATTCAAACTATATTGTACACTTTTTACTTAATACATCAAATTACTACGGAAATTGTGGTTTACGTCAACTCTGGAGTATTATTAAGTAGAGTAGGGTAACTTCCATAGAAAAGGATCATCCAATTTATTTTTTTAACGAATTTGGAAAATTACAACTGATACACGACGAATGGACGTTACTGGTGTACTTCAACCTAACATCGTACTGGCAAGCCACAATGAAACTACACGATTACGTTGAAGAAATTGATAAACTATGTCACAAAATATCGTACACACCCTGCGAAAACAATCGTGAATCATCTATGTCACGAATTACATCATCTAACAGAATATAACTTAATAATACTCCAATCTTAGACGTACATGAAGATTTCGAACGAAACAAGACATTTCAAACGTCGTTATTTTCCGATGAATTGACCCACTTACAAGTGCAGTGGCATTTTAACGCACCTCTCTGGCCGACAGCTGGCGGACTATAGGAGGACTATGAGAGGCTGTTAAATCTATGAAGTATCATCTTAAGAGTGTTCTAGGTGACCAGAAACTTACTTTTGAGCAGTTTACTACACTACTTACCCAAATTGAAGCTTGCTTGAACTCACGCCCGCTGTGTCCGCTCTCGGAAGATATCGACGACCTAGAATACATATCACCGGGACACTTTCTTATTGGCGGGCCACTAATTTCACTACCGCGAGAAGAAAATTTCAACCACCAAGATTTAAGAAATAGATGGCGACTAGTGGAGCAAATGAACTTACATATTTGGAAACGCTGGTCGCGTGAATACTTACATCAACTACAGGTGCGCAGCAAATGGCAGCAACCACCGAAGGATCTAGAAGAAGGAAAGTTAGACCTTGTCAAGGACGAATACTTACTGCCTGGCAAATGGGCTCTCGGTAGAGTGACGGAAGTCCATCCTGATAGTGACGAGAAAGTGCGAGTAGTCACATTAAAATCTAAAAGGGGTCACTTGACACGACCGATTACTAAACTTGTTCCGCTGCCCCTGAAAGAGAACTTATAAACTACCGAATCAGTACAAGAATCGACAACAACTCCTAGTACACCGACATCCTTACCACGTAACACACGATCCTGCGAAGGATTACACAATATTCTCTACTTACAGTACTATTGATGCTGTCCACTTTCATAAGTGCAGCACGACCACAACAATTAACTAATTATTAATTAACTTCCATAGAAAAGGATCATCCAATTAATTTTTTTGACGAAGTTGGAAAATTACAACTAATACACGACGAATGGACGTAAGCATTCAAACTATATTGTACACTTTTTACTTAATACATCAAATTACTACGGAAATTGTGCTTTACGTCAACTCTGGAGTATTATTAAGTAGAGTAGGGTAACTTCCATAGAAAAGGATCATCCAATTTATTTTTTTAACGAATTTGGAAAATTACAACTAATACACGACGAATGGACGTTACTGGTGTACTTCAACCTAACATCGTACTGGCAAGCCACAATGAAACTACACGATTACGTTGAAGAAATTGATAAACTATGTCACAAAATATCGTACACACCCTGCGAAAACAATCGTGAATCATCTATGTCACGAATTACATCATCTAACAGAATATAACACCATGCTGCTGTCTCAACGTCATAACCGACAAAAAAGAGGTTATTTCGACGGTATTGGGAAACTCGCAATGACGCTATTTGGAGTCCTTGATGAAGATTTTGCAAACAAATACGAAAACGACATTATTTAATTGCAACAAAACGACGATTACTTACTACAGTTAATGAAAAATCAGACACTGATAATTGAGACAAAAAATAACATTGTAAAAAGGAGTGAAGAGTTCATGGTCAAGCAATTTGAAACCATACATACCCACATAAATCAAACGTACTACGAAATCAAGCAAATTGAAAACCGGGTGCAAATGTTATACGCGGTGAATGACGTTTACTCCGCTGCTATTACTTCAACTTTGATACTAAACAACTTACAAAGAATTCAAGAAATGCTGCTTAACGCGTTGAGCGATATCTTCAAAGGACATTTGGACTCCCAAATATTTGCTGCATCTCAACTCATTGAACAACTTACTTAATATCGGGTAAATTACCACAAGGTTTATCTTTACCTATAAAAGATGTGCAACAAGATATTCAAGAAATATACGAATTGATTTACGTCAGAGCTCGAATTACAAACAAACTATTTACTATTTGAATTGCATATCCCGCTACTAAGCAACGAGGAGTACACAATTTATCGTATTTTACTGTTACCTACCGCCAGAGGGAGTCACTGGGAGACAGTAATTATACACAACCACTCTTGTTGACACGTATATTCTGACTCAAAAACGACGCGGGGCGCAGCCGCGTTTCTACTTAAAACTACCCACATAACATCCCTCCACCTTTATTCTTACAACTACAAGAACTTAAACTAGACTTAAAACTAAAAGAACTTTCGGTAGTCTATTTTATTCCGGGGGCGCTTTGTAGTTATCTCAGGCTGAGCCTGAGCTGACGGGTTGAGTACAGGCGCTTCTAGCGCGGCAGACTCAGGCGCGGATGACTCCACGTTGGGGCTGGTTTCGCACTCGAGCCAGCGCTCGGCGTCCACGTCGATTCCATCAGACGGCCCAGAGGGTTGTCCAACGTTCGTGTCGCGCTCGCCGGACACGGCGGTCGAGTTGTCGCCGGGCGCCGAAGGGTGAGCCAGTAGCACCGGGGGCATGATTGGAGGCCCACTCACTTGCGACGATGCTGCCAATGCATGAGGTGTCTCTCCGCAGCCTTCTTTCTGCTCCTCCTCCCCCTTGTATTTCAGTATTTGGTTCAAATGTTTTTTTATGCTCTGGTTTGAGTGTTCTATGTGCACAATGTACACAGATGCACCAAGTTTCTTTGTAATAGTCCCCTTAACCCATCGTTTCTTAAAATTATCGGTGATTCGCACTAACACTAATTCACCCACAGTAAAACTCACTTCCCTATTGCCGCGATAATGTTTACTTTGCGCGCACTGCTTCTTCTTTACGAGTGCGTCGAGTGTAGCATCGGATGATGACGAACTCTGTGGGACTATGAGATCCAACCTGCTTCTTAATTTACGCCCAAATAATAATTCTGAAGGGGATCTGTCTGTAGTACTGTGCTCTGAGTTTCTGTAATGGAATAAAAATTCTTGTAGTTTTAAATTAAAATCTTTGGCTTTTGTTTGTGATAATATAAGTCCCCTTTGATTGCCCGTTTTATTATTTTGACACTGGCCGGATTGTAAACTGGGAAGGTTATATGTTTTATTCCATTACGAGCGCAAAATTCTTTAAACTCATTGGACACAAAATAAGTTCCGTTATCCGAACAAATCGTATGAAATACCCCAAATCTCGACATCACTTCGCATAACTTTTCTATTATTACCCGAGAGTTATAACCATTGGAAACATCGAAACACTCCACCCATTTAGAGTACGCATCAACTACCACTAAACAGGTTTTATTATCAATCGGTCCTGCTAAATCAAAGTGCACACGATGCCAACTGTGCGGCGGGAAAGGCCAGGGCGTGCAGGCGCGTGGCGTAGCGCGCAGCACACGCTGCACGTAGCTACACACTGTTCGATATCAGCGGATAACTGCGGCCACCAAAACCTGTCACGGGCCTGTGATTTCATTTTCTGGGCCCCTAAGTGACCTTTGTGTAATTCTATAATAATTTTTTTCCGACGCCAACTCCCGTTTTATCGCTGTTACTGCCCTATCATGTTCTTTATTCCATACCCAAGGACAATTTTTTTGCAATAGTTCATGTAAAGGGTATTAAATTAGTATTGACGACGCATTCTTTACAAAATTTCTGTAATAATTAACCAAGCCCAGAAATGATTTCAATTCTGTTACGTTACTTGGCACTCTTGCTTTTAAAATGGCTTTGTCGGGTGATTTATGAATACCTTGCTTGTCAATAATAAACCCTAAGTATGACACCGAATCTTGGAATAAGGAACACTTTTCTTTTTGCAATACCAACCCGGCTTGTTCTAACCGACTAAATACTTCGTGTGGTTTTTCTACATGTTCGCTTTTATTTTTGCCAGTTACCAAGATAACGTCCAAATAAACCAGAACCCCGTCTAGGCCTGCTAGTAAGGTCTCCATGGTTCTCTGAAAAATGGCTGGTGCACTTGCTAAACCAAACACAAGCCTCGTGTATTTATAAAGGCCTTTGTGTGTGTTTATTGTTGTTAATAACTGTGAATCATCGGATAGCCTTATTTGGTTATATGCCGCGACAAATCAAGTTTAGAAAATTGTTGTCCCCCGCTCAGCTTAGCAAAAAGTTCGTCTATTCGAGGAAGTGGGTATTTCTCAACAAGTAAATGTTTGTTTAATGCAACCGAATAATCGGCGCACAAACGTAATGTCTTGTTACTAGGCTAGGCCACGCACGCGAGCTGCCCACTCTGCCATAGTCCCGTTTGTGTTTTGAATCGCACTGTGGAATGTATATCTTTCCGCAAAACTTTTAGATTGAAAATGTTCGTCGAGTAACTTTACTAAATACACATAAGCTATTTTCTCGAGTGGTTCCAGTAATGCTAGGTCGCGCACTAATCTGTAAGTAGATTCTGCTAAAATACTCGGCAATATGGCGCGCCGTTTAATACCGCCTTTGTCTCCTTCCTCTGTCACATCGTTTGCTAGGAACCAATGTTGCAGTCTGTACATGTAAATTGACCACTCGTGCACTTCATGGTTGAAAGTTGCTAGCGATCCAACCGAAATTTTGGCCATTATCACGCGTATACTGAATTTTTATTTATCCCATCCTCGTCGCCACTGTTATCTACCGCCAGAGGGAGTCACTGGGAGACAGTAATTATACACAACCACTCTTGTTGACACGTATATTCTGACTCAAAAACGACGCGGGGCGCAGCCGCGTTTCTACTTAAAATTACCCACATAACATATACCTATACCTTTTATGCGACGAGAGCGTTTGAAACTTCTTCGGTCATCGTCAAACTACATCGCAATTAATTTTGTGAAGAATTCGCATATATCTCTGGAACACGAGGACATGCAACGGTGTACTAGATATGGAGAAGAAAAGTTAGTTACATTGCACGCCAGCCTGTCTACAACCTGCACGATAAAAATGCTCCTTGTGAAGCTAATGTATTTAGTCAACAAACGACATTATCGTGTGTCATTGAGGATATACCGTGCAAAGAGACTTGATAAAATTACACAAATCTAACTTTTGATTGTTTACGTTGTGTGAAAAACATATGATGCTCGTAATATGCGACGGAAATGTAACACCAGGAGCTATTGATGGAACTGGAATAATCGCATTGAAACCAAGCTACTTTTTACAAAAGACGGATCCACTATATTTACACACAGTCACTGAGGAAGCAACCTTTATACGGAGTTGATATCGATATCCGAACTGCTAACTCTACAATCAACAGCATGTTTAAACTGAACTGGGATAATGCACAATGAAATATAACAAAATTTTGCAATTTTGCAATTTTATTTTTATTTTTAAATTTTACAATTAAACATCAACCGCAAATGATATGAAAATTATTGAGAAAAAAACTAAACTTTCAAAAAGAACAGGAAAAACTGCCTTTGCAATCAGCATTTCAGTTCATGATATCTCACTGTACTACTTTATTTATTATTACTACTTTGCTGTTGGGAGGGATATTCTCGCTACTGTTGTTTAGATATTTAAAAAGGAGGTGTTTGAGACGAACACCCCCCTCCACACACACTGATGAGATGCAGCAAACGCATAGTCCTGCATCTTCAGAATACATCTACACCGAAGCGATACCCAAAAGACGAGGATTTCACTTTGCTGAACTCCATGTGTAGTTACTGATACGTTTTTGTTTGTTTTTTGCTGTGTACTGGCTTATCTGACTAAATCACTTCTCATGTATTTCCTCGGGAGCATGTACGGTTTTTGCACCGTACAATACTTTGCTAACTTGACAACCTACATATTGCACGTGTAAATGCTCATAAAGGCCAGTTGACAACTCGCTTCACCAGCGATCGGCTACAGATAAGCATTCGAAACTATACTGTACACTTTTTACTTAATACATCAACTTACTACGGAAATTGTGGTTTACGTCAACTCTATATCCTACTCTACTTAATAATACTCCAACCTTAGATGTTCAGAAAATCATACGGGCACTGTCCCGTTCCATCAACGAAAGCTAAAGCTCTTAGTATTTGTTCCTTCAGCTCTGCAACTTATCGATCTTATTGTATCTTTTCAAAATTTGTAGAGGTCAGGAACAACATGTCGTGGTCGAGAACGGCACAGAACGCGCCGAAGGCGGAGAAAGTGAGAGCGAGTTAGATCTGCTTGCTGAGGTTGAAACAGAGAGCGATTCCGATGATCAAGACAACGCTGAATCGGCCCAGCGCAGTGTGCAGACCGGCGCAACACAGGGTTCCGACGCCGGTAAGTTGCTATAATTATCTATTGTATTTAGTGTTGAGTCATGGAAAAAAATCCACTCCGTTCCATTTTGTTTCAAAGCATACTTTTCAGAAAAATAAATATTTTTTATATTTGACGTTGACACCTATCAAAAATGGAAGTTACTGAACGAAAACGAGTGGAGGTGGTGTGGTTGTTGGAGGTTTTTTCGCTGTTGTGAAATTATTTTAAATCTCATTTTTCTTTAGGTGGCTTTTAGCTATACAAGTTTATTATATAATTTACGCTAAATAAAATTTCAAGAGACTTCTAAACGTAGAACATAATATGAGCTAAAATCCAAATTGTTTTTCGTGAATTTTTGCGGAATAATTTCCACTATTTGAAATTTTTCACAAAATTACCCAACAGTAATTGTATTATTGCTTGTATGATTTTTTAACGTACACACTCATAGCCCTGCACTAGGGAAACCCTGTATCGTGGGTGCCATGGACACACATAGGTAGACAATAACAAATTGCACTCAAACTCCGAGAGAAATAAATGTAGACCATACAAATATTTCTCCCGGCCTGGGAATCAAAACCGGGACCTCTGCATGGCAGTCCAGCGTGACTGCCACTCGACCACGCCAATTAGGATTAAATCATAAAATGAAATAAATTGACGCAACTTTTTTTTATGACATGAAGCAATTAGTGGGAACGTTGAGATGCTTAAAAAGGTGAACGGAAAATACTGTAATGTGTAGATACTTAACATACATGACGTTTATACGTGAGGACGACAAAATCCTTTCTCTAAAAAGTTAGTAGTTTTATTGGCGGCTACTCGCCTCAAGTGTTATTATCTTAATTACGTATTGCACCGCGACAGGCATAGCGTCCCTGCTGCTGTACCCCGAGGATGAGAGTGGCGACTCCACACAGCCCGAAGACGAGGATTCAGAAGCCGGAGAAACAGATGAGCAAGATGGTGAAGCCGAACCGCCGTTACCGGATGGCGAACCACTCGAACGCCGCACCGCACCGCCATCTAGACCGAATTTGGCCCCGCACTCCATGCAATGGGCTATACGGTAAGCACTGAAACATCCTTCTTATCAAAACCAAAATAGTATCTTAATAGCAAAATCAGTTACTATTTGTGTTTCAAACCAACAATATCTTTATACAGGTGTAACAAAGAATATTTCATTGACCGCGCTCATTACTTTCGGAGAACCCTCATATTTATTCAGGAAACTTTAAAGTTATTTGTTATCATGAGTTGTTATGTAACGGGCGCATTCGCCAGATTTGTACGCACCTTACTCGAGTTGTTGAATCAGGTAACCAACATGTTAATCTGATACATTTATTATTGTTAAATACCTCTCCATTTTCGCCAGCTTTATTCATGAAATTTATGATGCGCAGTTCTCGCGAGTCGAACCGTGGCACGAGCGGCAACGCCAGTGGCGTGCGTCTGACGGGCGGGTCCTCTTTGGTGTTCATCGACCCCGCGTCGCTGCGTCGCTCAGCCGCGGCAGCTGCCGCCGGCGCCCATGATCCACACTCTACCTCCACAACTGCGTCTTGTTTGGCTAGAGCTTTCGGTAAGTCTAATATATCGACTGTGAACTGGCAACCAGTACTATCCCAATTTTGACAACAATAAAATACACGATGAAGAAAAAAATTGTTTGCGTCATTTTTGTAGCATCTGGTTTATTAATTAAAAATAAGTAGTGTATGTGTAATACAAATATTTCAAAACTACGTATTTTATAATCAGATGCTATACAGGCTGTATATTTGAAAGTGGGACATACTTATAGAGTGCTTTATATTCCTGATTCTGAACCCAAAGAAATAATGAACTAATGAACTTAAACTTTACAAAAAATATTTTTGTAATTTTTTTATCGACTATTACTTGAGAACAACATTAGTTATCGAAATCTATGCACATCAGTATTATTGCTCCGACGCAGCGGCGGGTGTCGGCACGGCGGCAAAAAACAAAGCACAGGCGGGGGTGGGGGCGCGGGCGCATACGCGAAATTGCTGTTTGCAACTTCAGACAGTGCACGCGCGACCTTGATCTAACGAAGACACGTAAATTATTTACGCAATAAGTGGTGATAGTGCGAGGCAAGCTATTGAAATGTTCCCAAATCGGAGTTTACGCGGAGGACGTGAACAGTGTCGAAGTGTTGCGTGAGAGGGTTATCTCAGCATTTTATACTCTGAGACAAAATGTGTTGTACAATTTAAAACAAAATTGACGATGCCGTGTTAGACTTTGCATTGTGGAAAACGGTGGACATTTTGAACACTTGCTCCATACCACGTCTACATATTACACGTGTTTAACTAAAAAATCAATCATTGTAAATAATTTGATTTCACATTTTTAACTACCCCAACAACCTCTATTTGTATTAAATGATAACTAGTTACTAAATCATAAACTTATCGTTTTTAGTACGTAAAACATCTCAATGATAGTTCAAGTAAAAAATAATTAACATAGCTAAAACGTACATGTGAAATCATTGTTATTGTTGCTGTCTCATTCGGCGCTCGCTTGGTAGTATTCCCATTGCTCTCGAAGTCAAGCGTAAAGGGAATCGGTTTATTCCTATGTACACTTCAAAACACATTTGTTGATTTATTTTTTGTTCTATCCCATCTAATTTTATTTTAGTTTATGTTAAGTTGTACCATGATTTACTATGACATGTATGAATATGTCTCACTTTCAAACATACAGCCTGTATAAATGACTCAAACAATTTTTCCTTCATTCTGTAAAGTTGTCAAAATTGAGATAGTACCGTTTGCCAGTTCACAGTCAATATTCCAAAATAGTTCTCTAAGTGCTTTAACACTGTTAAATACAAATACTAGAAACGCCTGAACCTATTTGAATGTTTCTGTATCTTTCTAATAGACGTCACTTACACTCGATATTAATGATACATTTAAAATCTTTTCTCCGCTCTGTAATATTTTGTTTGTCTGTAAAGGAATTGTGATCCGACAAATTGCGGATCTGTTGTGGGAGTACGAGCGCATAACGCTACCGCTACCTCGCATGCTGCCACTCGAGTGCAGGGAGGCTTTGCGTCTACAGTGTTACCTCGAGAGGCAGCTCAAGCCCACCTGGGACTGGCTTGTTACTGTTATGGACGCTACTGAGGCGCAGCTCAGGTATGAAATGTAAATAAAATGTACATCTTTAAGTTACTAGGGAGGAAATGTTGCCTGCTACAACAACTGCTACACAAATGTGGACAATAAAGATAGCAGACCAAAATTTGTGTTCTTCAAATCTCGCGTTTTCACACGATATCGCAGTCGATAATATGTTCCATGGCATTTGTTACCTACCGGGTACATGACTAAGGGCATACTGAATATGTGTATAACTCCAACATTCTTCAACACAAAGATTCGGCGCGTCCCTTACGTCGAACAACGCGGGCACCTCGACAGCTGAAACCAGCCGCGTCGCGGCACCGGCAGCTCGCCGCACTACCTCCTTCCCCTCGCCTGCCACCCGCATCATCAGTTTTACCGAAGGACCTCGTGCCAGAGATCGAGAACAAGGTAATTTCTAATATCCTGTTTCCACACAAAATACGTTGCATATTCGTGTTCATAGTTTTTTACTTTCCTAAGTCCTCCTAAGAGAAGTCCTAAGTTTCATTTGCAAAAAAACACCTTGAAAAAATGATAAACAGCTCTATAAATATATACATGCTGTTAAATTTGTTAGGGTGGCGTTGTTTACATATCGCATACATTCATTCTATTTCTGCAGTTGCGCAATAGCTGCGTATTTAAGGCCTCAGGGTCTTGTTAGCCTCACCCTGTCCCTTGGTAGTCTTTCTGTTGTACCAAGGGCATCCTCACGTCAAGTTACAGGTGTGGAGGCAGGCAGCGCCCGTCGCGAGTTTCTGGCGTATTGCTTGTCATTGCTGCGCGCGCACAGCGCCGAGCACGCAGAGCAACTTCCGGTGCTAGACGTTGCGGCGCTAAAGCACGTAGCCTATGTGCTCGACGCGCTTGTCTACTACATGCGTGCTGCGCAGCCGCAGCCCCATCACCACCCGCATGTCTGGCCACCTGTATGTATTTTCTTCTTGAAAAGGAACAAGATTCTTTTTTATTTTTCTTTTTTTGCCTCAAGAATGTAAAATACATGAAAAACGAGACCATGTATGTATTTTCAAAAGTCAGCGCGTCTATAACAAAAAATAAATATAATGTTTATATTTAATTTTTTTAATTTGCCAAGGACGAGAATGAAAACGAAGAAGGTGACGAAGAAATGGTGATGGGAGGTGCAGCGGCAGCTGAATCTGATGGAGAAGGCGACGGCGCCCGCGGACGCACTCACGGGTTCTTCCAACGATCAGATTCTACATTGTGTCTTGGTTGTCCACCGCCCGATCCGTTTAACAGTGAGTATTTTAGAAGTGACTATTTCTCCTATTTGTTCAAGAAGCGCTATATTTTAATGGTTTGTTGGTTATTACTATAAATGAAAACACTATTGTTGGATGTAAAGACGGTGATTCTTATTGTGTTAGACAATCACAAGAATTATCTGATCTCAAAGTAGGTGAATACGAGATTAACGAAATTACCTTCGGAACCCTACCCAGTACACCTAGATACGAACCAATTTGGAAATTCTTTCTCGTTCCTTTACCTATATTTAAGTATATCAACTAAAATGAAGGAACGAATAGTGGAGTGAATGAAGTTTTAACTTTGAACGTTTAGTGCAGTAATTAATAGATTTATAACGCACACACTCAACATAGCCCCGCACTAGGGAAACCCTGTGTCGCGGGTGCCATGGACACACACATAGACAACCACAAATTGCACCCAAACTCACGAGAGAAATAAATATAGGCCATACACATATTTCTCCCAGCCTGTCCGGCATGGTAACCGTTCGGCCACGGAGGCAGTTCAGGCGTTAGTTTGTGGAAGACAGTATTAATAAAAATGGAAGTAAACTTGCTATTCTTGTGTTGAATATTTTTTTTTCATTGCAGTGACAATGCAAGATGCGCTGCCATTAGCAGACCAGCCACAGTTGCTGCAGCCCAACGCGCGGCGCGAGGAACTATTCGGCATGCCGCGCCAGCCGGTCACTGTGCCCTCATCTGGCGACGCGCCGCCGGGCGTTAACAACCCTCTTGAAGGTAATGTTTCCAAACTCGTGGAAGCGTATTTAAAAACCTCAACTATACCAACGTCAACATGCTACGCAGGCTTGGCGATAACTGCTCATAAGATAATATAACGCCTGTTTGGTGTATCAATACCATTGACTTACAAATTAATGGACGACGGGTCTAATACAAAAACCACGAAAAAAATGTCCCAGGTTAACCTATTTAAACGTAGTGACATGTAAAGGATTATGAAAAAGCTAAAACGCTGATTTAAATTGTAATGTCATCGCAGTACTGTCTAATTTTGCTTGCTTCGCTGTCAGTCGAACAAACGAAGACTAAAGCGTGAATGACGCTCTGTATACGATTTTAACGCCCTATAAGTTCGGACACTTTTTAGCGCGGACCCGACGTCCATATAATTGTAAGTCAATGATCAATACCTACATTTCACTAGAGGCGTAGGGTTGTGACGGTGTGACTTCCTTACATCGTCATCCCAACTTTTTATCGCCTTTTTCCGGTTCCAGGCCACTCATATTTAAATTTTGAATCGTTCCATAGCTCTTTTGCCTCGCATTCTGATTTTGTTTCGTTCCGCCGTCACTCCCTGCTCGATCGCGACAGCGTACGGAGCTGGTTAAAATTCAATCGCGTCTAATTTTGATTCCTTTACTAATTTTATAATCACTAGTAATCTAAATCATGTGCCAATTTTAATAAGTTTATAGCCACTACAGCCTTATCACGTACCTATGAATACGTATCTGTAACTCATTATATGTCGGCCCTTTTGGGCCTTACTTCTTTGTTACCTTTTCCTTCCTTAACAGACTTGAAATAAATTTGTGGTCTTGAAGTTTTCTGTTTTACTGCCGTGAACCTGGTCACGGCTTGTTAGGGTTACAACTCTTTCAGGGTTGTCACTTTATTATTTTAAGTTGTACTTACAGGTTGTAAACATAATTTGAAAAACTATAGGTTTTTTTTAAACCTATAGTATTTAGCAGTGTTTTCGTGCTATATTGAAATAACCTTTGTCAAATGCAATACGTACGTATATTGATATTTTTATACTAGCATTGGTTTTTCGTTTATGGGAGTAAGGTTACGAAATAGGATTGCGTGCGCATGTATGCGAGGGAGAGCGTGCGAGCGCGTCTGAGTGATAGTGAGTGCTTTCGAGTGCGTGAGAATGCCTTCGAGTGTATAAGTAAAAGCAAGCAGCTTGATTGTAGTCGCGGCGCCTCGTAAAGGTCCGCTTTAAAAAATATTTGCAAAATATAATTTCACTAACTAAAACTCCTAACAAAATAAAATTATTTAACTTTCTTCTGTATATGGAAATGATGAAATTTAACATTTTTGTCTATGCAAGATGATGATATGCAGTCTAACAGGACATGTAGTAGATACCATTTTCCATTCAACAAATTACTACAACAGTCACACGAAGTATTTAACGTAAATGCGGGAACCCTGAATGGGTGTCCTGGGCGAGTGTATGGCAACTCGGACTCGCACCCGCCCCTCTCTCGCCTGCCACACCCCGCACGAGTGCTTTTTCTAGACGTGTCCATTGGCGGACTCTAGGAATTGGTTAGATTGGTATTAATGTGTTTTATTTGATTTATTTTATCTTAGGGGGTGCAAACGGCTTATAGTACAACATAATAATAATTAAAATAACGATAGTTAGTAAACAGTTATCCGCTAATAGAAGTTGAATAGGTATACAGGCTGTCCCAAAACTCAAGGTCAAGCGGACATCGGGCGAGAGTATATCAGTTCTGGTAAAATAAAATAAAAAATTGAGTTAAGAGGGCACCGAGTTTCTGGCGCTAATTCATTTTAGGTATTCTTTGCGCTCCGTGTATGTGTGCGTGTGGCATACGTTTTCAAAACCGTGTGTAAGCACAAGCGACACAACCTCCACGCCTGACGGCCGAAGCAGGACTAGCGGACAGGAGGGACACGTCCCCACTCTGGCTAGTATGGCCAGACCACGTGCGAATTTAGGTGTTTCCTTCGTATTATTAAAAAAATATTCGTTTTGAAAAATAGTGCCTAGTATATGTTATAGAAAAGATGTAGTTTTGGTATTATTTTAAAAACTGACTGAAACTGATTGATTACCTTTCGTGAAGTATTTACGCCGTACTAAGGGTTTATCTTTGGCACACAAAAGTATTATTTACTTATCATGATATGCGTTTTTTTTAATGACGTCTTTTTGCAAAAAATAAACAATATTTTTTAAGAAATGATAGTGGCAAGTATTATATCATTTTGAAATCTTGACTAAATGGGTCATCTTTTCAAGTAAGTTGTCCAGGGTATTTATTTTTTTATGAAGTGTCAAACTAGCTGACATAATTTTTTTACACTATGATTCAATGAAACTATTTTTTTTTTTACTAGAGTAACAACGTTCATTGTTTGATTTGTGACTGCGACAAATAGCATGGTTGTTTAGGGTTACGTTAAAAAACAAAACACTTAAAAAATTTGAAAATTTGTGATGAGAATCATTGACTTACTTAAATAAATGGACGACGGGTCTAATACAAAAACCACGAAAAAAATGGCCCAAGTCAACCTATTTAAACGTAGTGACATGTAAAGGAATATGAAAAAGCTAAAACGTTGCATTTAAATTGTAATGTCATTGCAGTACTGCCTAATTTTGCTTGCAACAATTGAAAGGCGCAAAAAAACACCATATTCAGCTTCTACTGGAAACTTACTAAAATGCACCATATGTAGCTTCTAGTGAAAACTACTTGAACACAAGTATAATGGAGTAGCCTTTATTATTTATAAATAAATTTTATATGTAAATGTTGAATTTTATACAATGCGTATAAAATATATTACTAAGCTAGCTAGTCTGACTTTTTTTTCTTGAGTTTCGAAAATTCTCGTACCCGATTTCTCGAGTTATTCGAGAATTTTTTTGAAAACCGTAAAAAATCAGCTCAATTAGCTATAAAACTAAATGTGAACTTCTCGAAAGTTGTTTTGGCCTGGGTGTTCTGAGTTATGCCCCGGAATGAATAACATCGTTCTTGGTCCCAGGTTCGATTCCCAATAGAACCAATTTGGGAAAGGAACTTTTGTAAATTGGTTCTGCTCTGGGATTCTGTTGCTCTGATACTCATGGGGAGTATGTACAGAGAGTTCCCTAGTTTGAAACCAGGTTATTGTCTTACAATAGAATACCAAGACCAGAACCATTTAGAAAAGTTAATTTGTTAAATTGATCCTACCGGTATCGAACCCGGGAACTTCTCATCCAGTGCCCACAGTGCAAAGCGTTAGGCTATCAAGGTTGTACTATTTGTATTATTATGCAGTGTTTTTGTTCACTCATTGATGTAATCACATACCAAAGCTTTAATATTATGGTCTTTTATCAAGCTTGCATCAGCTCTGGTTTCCTTTCTTTTCTTACCATTTTCTTAACCCGTTCGTGCATAGTACTGAAAATATACTGCGCTCAGAAACGTCACCACTTTTCTATATGCGATAGTGCTTACATTGATTCAATATAATTATTACGGTTTTTCACTGACGACTGTTGATTCCGTCAACAGGCATAGTCGTACTGCTCATAGTTCTTGCAAATATTTCTTGTGCATGAAAAAGTACAGCTATGACGTTAGTAGGGTATTTGCCGTTGTGAGATAATTACAAAATGAAAACGCGCGATATTGATTGCGCAAGAGAAACGCTTTCCAAAATAAACACTTCGGTACTAATTAATAATAATAATTATAATAACGCACACACTCAACATTGCCCTGGATTAGGGAAACCCTGTGTCGCGGGTGCCATGGACATACATATAGACAACCACAAATTACACCCAAACTCACGAGAGAAATAAATATAGGCCATACACATATTTCTCCTGAAAAACCTAAAAAAAATACTTTCAGGATTATGGAAATTCATGCAAACGTTATTTCGGGCAAATGTATTTTCGGTCTTCTGATTCATAACCCCGAGCCGTAGAAAGAGTACAACAATATTTGAAAGTATTACTAACACGTATTAAAAAATATTTTAATAATAACATTAGCATCAAAGCGACTCTATGAAATTTTTGTTCTAAATATTTCAAACGCTTGTTTTTCAAACAATTGAAATTGACGTGATGGGTCTCGTCCAGTCTTTTACGCAAGCAGTGAGTCGGAACGAGACAGTTAGCTATTTGATTATTTTGATTGCTTTTGTAATTTATATTTACGATTAATTTCAATATAAATTAAATACTATATATGCTAGTGCATAAAATAACACAATGTTTAAAATTTTAAAACAAAAATTTTAAATGATAACTATGATAACACAATGTAGTACTTACTGAAAATATGATATACCACCCTGTTTTTTTCACTTTAGTTGAGTAATATTTACAAGGTTTTACTACACAATACGGCATCACTGACAATCGCGCTATCAATCGAACAAACGAAGACCACTCTGTATACGATTTTAACGCCCTGTAAGTTCGGACACTTTTTAGCGCGGACCCGACGTCCATTTATTTGTAAGTCAATGATGAGAATCCATAAAGATGTGGTCTGAGGCTGTAATTTTCAAAAATATGTCTATTATCACTTAACTAGGTGACATGGATTTTTTTTACTTTATTTTTACCAGAATTGATATACACTGGCCTTTCGCCTGGTGCCCGCTTAACGTTGAGTTTTGGGACACTCTGTATATGTATTGATAACATAGCAGTGCATATAGAGCAAGAAACTGTTTCCATAGTGGTACCGCGCCGACTTGGCTTGTCTTCTCGCGGCACGGAGCGTGACTGGTCTCCCCCCGCACGTCCCGCCTCTGCGCCGCCGACTCATTCGCATACTATGACTAGAGACGAGCCACAGGTAAAAAACAACATATTTTCTGGTTTCTACGATATATGATCTAGTCCCTTTTGAATATAATAAATGAAAAAAAGCATGCAGACGTATTTTTAACGAAACATTCAATCTCTTTTTTTCTCAACATATATATTATAATTATAACATTCAAATGTCTGTTTTTCTTTTGGGCAGGACTTATCATGCGCAAAGGATACAACTACAAAAATGGAAGTTGACACTGACGGCGAATATCTTTCCGATTCTGACTCAAATGAAGCTAGACAAATCCCCAGGAAGAAGATACACAGGTAAGGCCATTCAATAAAAAGGACGTGATGGCGTTGTAAAGCATAGTTGTTTTATGATTGAGTTAAAAGTAATCATGGACATTTTCACAATTATCACAATGTACACATGTGATAGTTCTAAAAATAATAGTGAATGAAAAAAAAAACAGCTTAAATAAACGGTGTAATAAGAGAACGGAATACTGTAATATTGCAATTTTAATTTGACAAGGAGCTGCTAGTGAAATCTTATATTCAATCAAAGCTTCTAGATTATCATGGTTTTAGAGCTTTTTTATTGGTCATTAACCGCGCTATGCATTGTGGGAACTAACAATTATATTATTATATTTTTATGGTTATCATTTAAGTGTTGTTTTGGTGAGTAGTCTAGTGTTTTTTGTATTTGAATTAATTTGTAAATATAAATTACAAACGCAATAAAAATAACCAAAACATAGCTAACTGTCATTTTCCTACACATTGCATGCACTAAAGACGGACAGAGACCAATTACTTCAATTTACTACTTTCGATTCGAGTAGTCTAAGGGAGTCATCTTAGTGGTCGGAAATTCGGATGCTTCTATCCCTGAGGTTCACTTTTCCCCGTGATTAGCTGTGAAAGTATAGAAGCGGCTTCTTAAAAAAATGTTTTCTTTATTTTTTCTTCTTTTGAAGCCCGCCGGAATGTCAGAATGATGTGACATGTTACAAATTTTATATTTTAAATACATTTTCGAACTTTTACCTTATGTTACTATATTAACTTATATTAGTTACCATTTAACCCAGTCACAACATAACATAAACATGTCGAGCAAAAATTGGACTTAACACATGAGTAATCAGTGTGTTTAGTGAATATGTCTGAGTCTCACGTTAATTTCCCAATTAAAATTATTTTTGATGTCTTATGTTTTTACATTTTCAACTTTGTAAATATGACAAAAAATAATTTAAATGTTACATAAAATTACAAATAACATCCTGAATATTTTGGACAATTTTTACGTTTCAAAAGCTCATTCCATATTTAGCGAGCACCAAATTATAGGTAAACAAGCATCCGAATTTCCGACCACTGGTCATCACACTTTGTAATGGAGAATCGTATTAAGCTGGTCAGAAAAAGCATTGTAGTATGCACAGTAGCATAGTTTATAAACGTAAGATCGAGACCTCTGTCGCTGAATATCATATTCGCAAAATATCAATTGCGAAGGGCGTAAACCTCAAGAGAAATGGTTGGGAAATTTTTAACATTAAAAAATATGCAAATTTTTACGAATATGTTGTATATGGTGAATATGTTTTATCAGTAATTATTTTTCATCAGTTTGTATTTTGATACTTGGGATATCAATATATATTTTTTTTTTTTTTCCTATAGACATCCGCATTCCGGTGGCAGCAATTCAATGCAAGAAACGAGCGCACCCCCTTCAGAGTTCCACACGCTGGTCGATACCGCTTGTTCAATTATTGAGTCGCCACATCAACAGGCTGCTTCACCCATACCTGGTAAGAGTTTTTGCATTTTACTAGTAAAACTAACGAAAGCATAAAATTTAGTTAACACCGTAACACTGAACATTAATGTAAATATAATGGTCTGACTAGAAAATCGAAAATAGAGGCAATTTGAAGGATTCTTCTCATTTGAAAAACGAGGCAAAAAATGTAGTCTTAATTTTTTTTTAATACCATAAAAAGAAAACAAAGTTTGTTGTCTCGTATTGTTTACAACGTCGGAAGATAATAAGAGAATGGCAAAATTGTTGAGTTGATGTCTTGATTTCAATGCATGGTGTTAGTTTTTTACTTTTATGCTTTACTCTACCGACCCTCAATTTGTTGTCACTTAGAAATTTAAAATGTTTTATATTTTACTTTAATTTTTTCTTTTAGTCGTATATTTGGGCATAGCGATTTAAAGTGTTTTGGTTCTTAGGTCCCAGTGGTTCGGGCTCGTCGACTGCGGAACCCCGGGCGTCTTCCTCCCGCAGCCCCGGCAAGACTGTCATTGTACGTGCTGTAAGTCACTCCACTTACTTGGGGGACTTTTTCTTATCCAAATTATATCCTGACTACCCTTGAATCGGAAGTAACCGTTTTATTTCAACGATTTTGAAATCTCTGTGTCATGAACTTGAATCATGATTAACGATTCTAATTGGACATGGTTAAACAAAAAGGATCCAATGTGGCAGTTTGAAGTTTAAAAGTGTTTCTCACTCTTGGTTTATTTTCAAAACTTATAATGTCATGTAACTCCAGATATATTTATTTATGTTTGTATGTTGGATTTTTTTGCTGATCTAAGAGGTTAAACTTTATTAACCGGTTGGTATATATAACTCACTTTTTGATAATGTTGTGGATTGGATCCTTTTTGCTTAACTACGTCAAATTGATAATGAAATATGTTAGAAGATTAACTCATATGCCACATGTTATTCAGTACCCACACGCCAACACTATCACAGGAGCATTCAGTATTTGAAATATTTGGTACATGCATTTCATGTTTATTTTCCATACCAACATCTCTACTATGGTGTAGTTCAAAGAGCTAAAATGCTGAATGTCAATTAATATTTACCAGGGTGAACTTCTAAGCGCGGCGGATCCGTTGGAGTCGCAAGAAATCTCAGCTCATGTAACTGTTGAGACGACTGGGCTACCTCCACCACCTCTGCTGCCGCCTCTTAGTGCACCCGCTCAACCGTAAGTTTATATTATTTTTTATTTTTTTGAAAAGATTAAACAATACAATATATTTATTCGCTGAAAAATGTAGTTAACATTGTTGGTGTCATCAGGTGTTTTTCACCAAATGTACTACACCTAAACCCCTTTGAATTAAATAAAGTACAAACCAGCGCATGCGTTTTGCGCGACTTATCGATATTATCTATGTTTTTAATATTTTGAGAAAAATATACACCACTTGTACCAGAGTACAAAACTGCCCGAACCCTTGAATATGTTTGTGTAGTGACTATAATATGCTTGTTCCCTGTCCAGGCGCGCATGCCCATCCCTTGGCGCTTCGGTATCTCACGATCTGCTCCTGGGTCGCTGGCGTCTGTCTCTCGATTTGTTCGGCCGCGTATTTACTGAGGATGTAGGCCTGGAGCCCGGCTCTGTAGTGGCCGAGCTTGGCGGATTCCCTGTCAAGGAAGTAAAGTTCCGCCGCGACATGGAGAAACTAAGGAATTCACAACAACGCGATCTAACCTTGCACAAGGTACGTATGTATCACCCTGTTAGATAGTTTATGGAGCATCGAGTCTATTGAAGGTATATTAAGTTAATGGTTAGTATTCAAATTGGACATTTAAAAAGTGATTGGAAAATCCTAAATTCAAAATCAATAAATTGTACGAATGCTTTCTGATTTCAAACCAGCCGTACTATGCGATAACCGTGTTTCGTGTAATAGTGCTCAAAAGAGCTGAACCGCCGCTATATTAAGAAGCTTGAATGTGTGTCTTATTTGTCAGATGGAACGGGACCGTGCGAAGCTACTGCAGCAGACATTTGCAGAGCTGAACAGTGCGTTCGCGGGGCAGAACCGGCGCGCCCACAGTGCGCTACCCCCACTCGCCGTTAACCGCGTTAAAGTCACTTTTCGCGACGAACCAGGAGAAGGCAGCGGCGTTGCGCGCTCGTTCTACACTAGTGTTGCAGAGGTAAAAGAGGACATAGCGATATCGATATTTGTACCTAGTTAAGTAATACGGGTATCTACATATAAATAACTATCATTAATTGTATCCAAATTACCCAGCTTCAGATAGTAGAGCCAATCCTTTGTTTCATGCATTGATTGTTCCAGGCGTTATTAGCTAATGAGAAGCTGCCGCCACTGGAGCCGACCACGGGTAGCGGCAGCAACAGCAATAGCACCAATGGTACTGCTGGTCCGGCAGGCACCGCGGCAGGGGGTACAAGTACCAGCAGTGGCGCTAGGTAATTTATATAGATTGCTAATCTCTCATCTCTTTGTCAATTGTCAAATGGGTTCGTGTCAAATTGTAGATTGAACAAACCCATCTCGTGTTGTTAAGTTACTATTACTATTCAATATGTATTGGAAGATATAATTGTCGTAGACGTAGTTTGATATCAAGTATGTTTTGGTTTAGAAGCGGTGCCGGACGAGCTCGTTCGAAAGACACGACACGCCGTACACCAGGCCGGCCAACGCCGCGCCCACCAACCGCCCGCGAGCCGCGTCGCGTTTTAAGCGTTGACGCCAGACCTTACTCGCCTCAGGTGACGTGTTAACTCATCGTGCCCTTCTCTTTGTTTTTTAAACCAGTTAAATTTTAATTCTAACGTCGTTTGGAAACTGAGATGTGTAGTGGGTTAAAACCTATCAACCCACCCGAGGTTTAAGCCGGTTTTTACCCAAAGCGCTTATTTCTGATCAAAATCGTGGGCAGAAACGGCGAATACGGATTTTTTATAATTCCATACTTATTTCAAATTTCGCTGTAAAAAGTATTGTTTAGACGAAAAAGAGGCAACTGCACACTATACCCAACTTGCAGTCCTGTAGATTCTCATTACTAAGGATGCACATTACTATCGAATCAATTCATCTTTCATTCATCATTCAATTCATCAAAAAATATTCGTTTATACGATCTAACTATTTTATGTATGGATTTATTTCAATGCAATTTACAAGCAAATTGATTTAATAGAAAGGCAAAGCGAATCATCTAGATCAGAAAGCAATAAGTTTTTGTAATAATATAAATACATAAATATACACGCAAAATAGGCGCTTTGTCGTCGAGTTGCGGATACCAGCCCGTTGCACCAAGTACCAAGTAATAATATAATTAAATTTGAATAAAACTCGATTCACAACACGTATTTAGTTGTAAATAGCTTTTGCTCTCGATGTTGGGCGTTAATGGGTTTTAACCCGATTTAAACCGGGTGTTTGCCCATCTCTGGAAAGTATAACTTGGCTAATTAAGTACTGTATGAATATCAAGTTTCAACTAAAATTATGCAGTATCGTTACCGAGTCTTAATCGTTGTTATAGGCGGCACCCGGCACAGAAGGCGCTGGCTACAGTGGAGATAGACCCGGAGGACATAATGAGCATCTCACTCTACACCAAGCTCAACTAGGCGAAAGACTTTATCCTAAGGTGAGATTTACATTAAGTATTTATACGTTATCAGTGCCGTCACTGTTACACATCAAAAATCTAATAGCTATGTTATGAGTTGGTTATAATGACTGGAAGAGGTTTCGATTATTTTTTCATACAATTGAAAATACCGCAACACGCATATGCATAATATCAGGAATTCTTGACGAATTGTAGGAATTTTTTAGGTTCATTCCCTGCACCCTACATTCGCTGGTAAAATAACGGGCATGTTGCTCGAGTTGACGCCAGCACAGCTGCTGGTTCTACTCGCTAGCGAGGACGCGCTCCGGCAGAAGGTGCGCGAAGCTATGGATCTTATTGTCATGCATCCATCTGAAGCCATATTGGGTAAGTCATGATTTCTGCACTTCACTTGAGCAGCCGGCGTAACCTTTATGGACCTCGTACACCACGAGACAGTGGTTGATCGAGAGCATTGCAGGACAGTGCTTTGAAAGAAAATAAGTTTTCATGAATGTAGATTTTTTTAACTTTCTCTGGGTTTTCTTTCCTACAGAATTAAAGTCTTTTTTGCGAGAAATTTTTGTGTAAGCTTTACGTGCTGATTTCGATATTTATAATTAAATATGAAGGTGACCCCACAGATTTGGACGTGTTTTCGCTATCCGAACGCGGCGCAGGTGTAGCGGGCAGTGCCACAGTAGGCGCAGCGCTCGACGACGCCGCACCGCTATTCTATTCCCCGGGCAAACGAGGTTATTACTCGCCAAGACAGGGGCGCGCTACACCAGAGAGAATTAATGCGTTTAGAAATGTCGGAAGGTAATTCTAATTGTGACTTTTGAATTTGGTTAATAATCTCATTCCAATACATTGACTTAGTAAGTCAATGTTCCAATATCTGAAAGTGCAATTCACAGACTACAAACAAATATACTTTTTGCCTAAATAAAACAGAATCTACTCTATTACGAAAATCAATAACAAATATTGACAAAACTCTGAAAAAGTTGGGCTGACAAATAACAAGTCAACTTATTAATTTACAGGATTATTGGCCTCTGCTTACTTCAAAACGAGCTGTGCCCCATGTTCCTGAATCGACACGTCCTTAAATACTTGCTAGGGCGGCCGATCAGATTCCATGACCTAGCGTTTTTCGACCCGGTCGTGTACGAGAGTCTCCGGCAACTCGTCGTTGACGCCGAGACTGGCGACTCGCACTCGCTTTTTGCTGCGCTCGATCTTAACTTTAGGTGACTGCAATATTTTATTTTTATTGAATTATCGTGATGTAGTAATTCGTCTATCGATGCCTGACTTTCTCAAACTCGTATCTTATAAAAAGTGATTATTCAGCACATGGTAAAATTTTCTATTTATTTTAATTTTTTTTATATTTATAAAATTATTTTTTTTACTTTAATAATAGGTAAAAGCCAGTGTGTAAATATGAAGTAGATGTGATGTGAAATCAGCCTGCAAAATTGGTATATACAATCCATTTTTTGCATTTCAGTAACATTATGTTTTAAGATACGAGTTTGAGAAAGTAAGTAAGTATGTTTTGTGAAACTCCTCCGACTTCACTAGTTAATTACAAGGGCCACGGTGAGATAGAACATACCTGGTTCGAGTCCAGTCGGGACGAAGAAATTTTTCTTCGCTTGATCGATTTTTGTATCAACAAACTTTTGGTGAGTTTGTTTCATGGTATTTCATTGCCATTGCAAAGTATGTTGTCTGTCATATCTAATAAACTTCTGTTTTTCAAACAGCCTAGAAATGTGCGAGGAGGAAGGTGGTGGGTGCGTAGAGCTGGTGCCGGGCGGGCGTGAGTTGGAGGTGACCGCGCTCAACGTATATGACTACGTACGCAAATACGCGCAACATCGCATGCTCATCTCCCAGGAGAAGGCGCTTGAGGTATAAACAACTTTTAACATAACCAAATAAAATCAGTATAAATGATGATTCTGCGTTGTTTTTCAATTTGATTAACACATATTTTTAGACTGAAATTTAGTATTTCTTATATTGAATGTACAGGCGATGCGAATGGGAGTACTGGACGTCCTACCCGAAACCGCCTTGGAAGGTTTAACGGCAGAAGACTTACGGCTACTTCTGAACGGTGTCGGTGATATCAATGTAGCTGCGCTCGTCTCCTACACCAGCTTTAACGACGAGAGTGGCGAGCCACCCGAGCGGCTAGCGCGCTTCAAGCGCTGGCTCTGGGCCATCGTTGACAAAATGACGCATCTAGAAAGACAGGACTTGGTCAGTACATACATTTTTGTTTTATTTCAAGTTTCCGTTTAATGTCTTGATAATGCTTGGACTTACACTTTATTATATTGTAACAGGTTTATTTCTGGACGGGTTCGCCGGCACTGCCTGCATCCGAAGAAGGCTTCCAGCCAATGCCATCGGTGACAATCCGACCAGCCGACGATGCGCACCTGCCCACCGCCAACACCTGCGTCTCGCGGCTCTACATCCCGCTTTACTCATCGCGGCACGTGCTCAAACATAAACTGCTGCTCGCCATCAAGACTAAGAACTTCGGCTTTGTGTAAACTTCCTGCCTCTCACCTCTCGTAGTATCTCTTTAGTTTAAGCCCAGTCACGTAAGACTGCCGTTGTATTTTATTGTGACGTGAATGCTATCAAATAGCCCTAAATGATAGATAACCTTATATTCAATGCTGAAGTATGTTTTATGTACTCTAGATCACTTTTTCTTCGCGTGACTGGGTATTTTGACTGAATAGTAATATTTATTACACAGTAATTCTTTTGCTACAGGAACAGTCATGATTAAGGTCTGCACAAGTACACTATAATTTTTAAACAAATAAGCTCTTAGACCTTATAAGTATTTAATTCCGTTAAGCACAGACAATCACAAAATGATTGGATTGAATATCAGTAATCAGCAATTATTCTTTTTTCGTTTTTGTATCAAACTTTCTTTTTAGGTATCTTTTTCTGTTCTGAACTTGGATTCAATGGCCTATAGTGCATTTGATCATTTTCCTCATTATTTATTTGTGTGATCGCAAATAAGGCAGCGTGAATCAAAACTATTTTAACTTGTTTATATACTGTTAAAAAATATATAATATAGAGTATGATGATTGATGAGTATACTGCAACCTTTTGGGTAAGCTTGGGCAGAGGCGTCGAATCCGAGTGTTGGTGGTATTGTGATATCAGAGGAAGTATTTATGCGCCTCTATCTCTAAATCTAAGAATATAATTAGATTTCTCTTTTATTAGTTGTATTATGGTTCATAATAAACAATCTCAAAACGCTTACAATGTTATTTCATTTCATGGACAAATAAAACACATGCGTTAAGGTTATAATTTATTGCGATAAATATGTGTTAAAGTGAGACACACTTAAACATTCAAAATAATAATTGGTTGCCAATGGCACATCAACTACAAACATACTGTAACTTTAGTCATTATCATGTTACAATGGCTTTGGATGCCATATAGGCGTAAATTAAATCATCAGTCACAAAATTACTCATAATTGACATAATTTGGTATAAAAGTACAGTCGAATTCTACAGGTATGTAGTATGTATAAATAACTAATAAATAATCAATATTAACTTTATCGTATTTTGGACGCAATTTTTAGTTCATTTGATATTTTTGTGTACAGGCCATATAACACAGTAATGTGACAAACATGAAGCAGTGCACTAGTAAAGTTTGTACTCGGATAAGTGTTCCAGCATAGCTCAATTAGAGCTAAAATTAAAAACCTAATAATGTTAGAGAAATTACAAGACCACAACAAATATGGTAAACTGTGGAAGTACCAGCAATAGAACTGATAGTGGAGGCTCCTTGCACAAACTATTCCAATGAAATTCACAATGAACATGGGGAGAATAAACAATTGTGACAAAATATCAAAGTTGATGCTGTAATGTAACTCATCCTCATCAGGCTCCATTCGCTTAGGAGCCTTGTTTCCACCTTTGGCATTTTGAAGCATAGCCTCGAAAGAATGCAGAAAGTCTTCCTGCTCTTTGCTCAGTTTTTCTTGATCGTCAATTTTTTTACTCAGTTTCATTTTTGCCTCTTTTATTCCTTTAAATTTGGCTCTTGCTTTATTTTCGCGATTCTTAGCATCAATTTGAGGCTGGACCTCCTTCTGCACATACTTAAGGCGACAATAACTTTTGAAGTACTGAATGCAGAATGGTAGGAATATGAGTAGGAGCATTATATGTATACCCAGCAGAGTGAAATGGAAACATTTGCTTTCAAACATGCTGATTTCCATAAATCTATAATTGACAGTCCAGGTGTGATTGAAAATGCGACCCACATCAAAACTACCTTTCAAATATGCTACTGGATTAACCAGCAAGAACGGTAAACCTAACACAATTTGTATTATACCACAAACAAGCAATTGCTTAGTAGTATCTTTCAAACCTAAGTTGACTAGATAAAAGAAAAACAGTGCTGGAGCAAACAAAAGGATATTCATTTTAACAGATACTCCTAAACTGTAAAATATACTGCCTAAAGTCCACTTTGACTCAAGGAACAGATTCAAAGATATGTACAAAAAAAGCACAGCAATAGGATCATTAAACAATCTCAATACATGAATTGAATGTATTCTATATGATGTAAGAATTGTGATAGCTAGTACATATGGAGGAACTTTCCGTGTTTTTATATAAATTCGCAGCACAAAGAACAAATGTAACAGGTAAATACCTATGAATATGTACTGTGCTAGTTTGATATTTACACCTTGATTTGTAATGTAATAAAAAATAGAGTAAATGTAAACGAATCCCGCTGGGTACACTAAAGGGCCAGTATCTCCACGAAGCTGGCTGTAGTCGTAGGTGCCATTCAAGACTCCTTCACATTGCTGCATGTAAGCCTTCCAGTCTATTTCGGTATAAGGCACTGATTCCACTATAAAAATGTTGAGCACAAGTTCGATGATAATGATGAAGAACGCAATAACGTGCACTTGAACAGGACTAAGCACCAAAGTTTTTAAATAAGTCCACGTAAATAGCTTTTTTATTTTTCGGAATATATCTTGATAAGTACTTATGTTCACCATAGTTCCTAATGCTTTGGTACAACAATTAGGTTATTAAATGCCTTACACTCTGCATGCGTTTGTTCTCGGTGCAAGCATGTGTTCTATAATTTTAGAATGTTCATTACCGATAATTCTATTTTAAGATTCACCTAATTCCCAGTCGACACAAACCCAGTCGATACGAATGAAATTACGAAACCACAGTACGAAACCACGACAATACAGGGAAGAGAGAGCGGCTTTCATTTTTCATTCCTGCTTTTTTTTCTAGCACTTCGCGGTTTGGAATGGATCGATTTCGCTTTCGGAATTAAAATTGCATATCTTATCCTTAGAGATCTTATCATTAACACTCTGAGTGACTTTGTAAAACCTTTTTTCTTTCGGTTTTAAAATTCAAGCTTTCAAAGTGTTAAACTTAAAAGTTGAAATAAAGTCAACAATTATAAAATCACATACATATTTAAATCAAATCTAACAAAAAACTCATTTTTAGTCACACGACTTTTCTATCCAGTCCATTTTTAAGAATTCACATTTTTAAGAAAATTTCGCATCTTTCAGAAAAATATTTTTTTTTTCCGAATAATGTTTTTCTTCTTCTTTTTACTCATTGGCGGCCATTTCCCTGGAAGAAACAGCAAAACGTAAACCATAGAGCCATTTTATAGATTTTTATTTTATTTTATTTATTTTAGAGATACCTACTATTACAATATTAATTTAAATATGATCAATCCGATGCATTCCGATGTCAAATAAAAGCTTAATATAGCTCCACAAAATAAAGAAAATAACATTACAATAAAAGTAAGGTCTAGAACTCTACTCAATGCTCAAGTTAGGATTTGAGTATGGTTTAAAGCACTTGATATTATACTCAAGTCCCTGCCATTAGGGTCGTATTTCCAGTGCTTGTGTTGCCAGTGCAATCCTGACTTGAGCATTCAATAGAGTTCTAGAATACGACCCGTAGTATCTTCTCTGTAGTCTGTGACACAAACTAACACATTTATGAGACACAACAATCGCGTCAGGATTAGCCACTTTGCATTTAGTCTAGTATCACTTATTAGTTTGTGAATCTATTTTAGTCATAATTTTGTTGGTAGGTCATAATAATCGAAGTCTGAGGGGACAGTGGAGTACATCAGACATAAAGCCAAATACACCCCGAGGGTCGAGCGATTGGAGTCCCGCCACAACGTAAATTTTAATTCGTTTGTGGTGAGAATTCTATGTACTCTGTGGTGCCGACCAAACATTTATCGACCTTTATGAAGGAAGAGTTTTGGCCGAAGGGTGTCATGTGTCGGCGATTCCGCGGCCGACACCAGATTGCGCCACACGTCGCCGACAAGTGCAATTCGTGTAGATTAGTTAGAAATAGTGTTTTGTTATATATATAGTAACAATCTTATAAGCTAAACAATGGACGGCTAACCAGTTTTTTCGGATAACAGGGTAACCGGTTTGCCCTAGTTACGTTCCCCACGTGATCCGACCTATTTTAATGAGCTCCTCGCATAGACAGTGCGTGCGCATTGATGCTATCACTGGCTACCTGAGAACAAGTGTGCGACAATATATGCGTATTGATTATTATCTACTCAGTTCTTCCCTTTTCTTTGTGAAAAAAAAGATTACATGGCTCGTTTACCTCTTTTTTAACCTGCGGATATTATTCGATCGTATCGAAGTTTATTTTATATAATCACACAGTGCTGTGTATATACATCATAATGCCGTCTGTCGTGCCTGAGCACGTTTCACTACTGGGCACTTGCTTCAAATTATTGTATTTGAAATTATTAGATTTTAATGTTTAAAACTTTAATTCACTTGTTTTATGACATTTTTTTAAATAGCATTTAATTTTATACCTTTCTTGGCTATGTTATAACCGGACGTTAATTAACATTTTATTTTATTTACTGACATATATGTATGTATGTATAAGTATGTATCCACTTCTAAAATTTGGAATGATCTACATCCTCCTGTTCGTGCGGCAGTGCAGTGTCTCAAACACTGCGAACATTTAAACATGAATGTTTTCTGTGGCTGTTTGAAAAGCAATCTCGGGATGCAGGCTCTAAGAATTAGCATAAGTTTGTACATCTGTTCTGTGTATTTGTGTATGTTTGGTATTATGCTATTTAAATAACTTAATTATTATTCCAATACATTTTTTTTCTGTCTAATTGTTGCTTGTGTCTAATTTTATTTACTTAGTGGCTAATTGTCTACTATAATTGGATGTGTACGTTTGGTATTATGCTTTTTAAATTACTTATTTATTTATTTGAGTGTGTGCGTTATAGTCCTCAGAGGGCTGAGTCATGGACTATTTTGGCATGCTTTTTTTAAATTATTTTGTATGCTTCTTTTTAACCGACTTCAAAAAAGGAGGAGGTTCTCAATTCGACTGTATGTTCTTTTTATTCTTTTTTTTGTATGTATATAACGCGATAACTCCGGTATTTGTGAACCGATGTGCATGGTTCTTTTTTTGTTGGAAAGGGGGTACTTCCATAGTGGTCCCATTTCATTTTGAAGAAAATCATCCAGCGCCTAACTTAATTTAGGAGCAATTATTTTAATGGTTGATTTTGCTATTTCTCCAATTCGAGGCGTTTTTCTCTCGATATACTTTGAGTAGTGAAAACCGATTATTATTATCTCCAGTGTCAAGTCCTGTATAGTGGCGAACTAGGGGATATTTCAATAAAACTTAGCGAATAGACGTAATTCCATGTACTTTTGAGGTCGGTTTTTTAGTACTCTATACTGAGATTATTTATTTTTATTTTTATTGAATTTATTTTTATTAACTTTTTGTTGTTTTGTTTGAAAGTTATGCATGTTAAATAAATCCTATTTTATCTATTTTTTTTTTTAATTGGAAAGATTTTTTTTCTCATTACAGATCAACACAGTCAGTAGCATTTATGTTCAACCAAACTCATTTAAGCAAAATAAAGAACGAGAAGATCGAACGTTGGAGATTAGTTGTCTTGTTTTAAATACGACATCATTACTCGCCCTGGCAAAGAAAACAACGCCGCTGATGCATTAACAAGACTCTGTGAACATATGAACCTTAATAATCTTAAAACTATACACGAAAATCTTTGTCATCCATGAACAGCACGAATGAGTCACTGGACACGATCTAAAAATCTTCCATATTCCATTAATGACATTCGTCAAATGACCACTAACTGCCGAGAGTATGCGCTCAAATCGAACCTCGGTATAAACGGTTGAACAGGCAGCTTATTAAAGCGACAGCTCCCCTGGAACGGCTTAATATGGATTTCAAAGGGCCATGACCATCGAAGTCACGGAATAAATATTATACAAACGGTCATTGACGAATATAGTCGTTTTCCCTTTGCTTTTGCTTGCAAAGACATGATGTCAGGTACCGTGATTGACTGCCTGAACAAAATATTTTATATTTTTGGAACCCCAATGTACGGACAACGGCACATCAGACTACACATTTTTGTTCGAAAATCGCCTCCAGTGCAACGGAACAAGATACGTCAATGTGTAGCTTGGTGTGCTGGCGTGTGTACATACATTCAGATAAGGGAACTTCATTTATGTCTCAAGAGCTCACTCAACACCTAGTCTCACTTGGAATTGCTTGCAGTAGGACCACGCGTTACAATCCGCAATGCAACGGGCAAGTTGAACGTTTAAACTTCATGGAGAACAATCCGATTAAGCCTCAAAACCAAGGGTTTAGAGACAACGGATTGGGAAAAGGTTCTACCTTTAGCGTAACATTCTATACGCTGTTGTGCACAGCTACTAATGCTACTCCCCATGAAAGAATGTTCGACCACCCCCGAAGAAGTCCAAATGGGATATCTTTGCCTGCTTGGCTCATGACTCCGGGTCCTGTGTTAATAAAAAGAAGCGTACGTCATTCGAAATTTGACCCCATAGTGGAAGTAGGCCAACTCCTACAAAGCAATCCAAACTATTCTCACGTCAGATATTCAGACGGAGGAGAGGATACAATTTCAAACAGGCACTGAGCACCACTCCCATCAAGTACCTAATGCTGAATATTGTCCTCAGATGATGAGCCCAATGTTTTCGTTGATGCTTCGTCTCCACCCGAAAGTGACATTGAGCTCGTTATTGACGAATCGAGGGCTGCAGACTCGGCCAACAGGAGGTTTGGCGCTCCACGCGCTCGAGAAGACCACCGGCCTATTTGGATGAGTACGAGACATCTAGGGCTTTATGCAAGGCTGCAAAGTTGTTGTTTGCCGCGAGTGCTTGTATTGAAACCTGAGCAAGCGAAAGAAGCTAAGATTGAACCACGAGCGAAACGACCCTCGCTACGCCCAGCAGCGTTTCACGGCACGAGACGCAAAACAAATTTGCTGCCGAGCGAAACACACATCTGTTGACCTCATTAAAGCGAGGGAAATGGTAGATGAAAGAAAAACAGTTGAACTTTATAACATCAATTTTTTTTAAATTATAAGGATGCGTTCTGAATTTACATGTCATCACTTTTTATTCTTGTTTGTACTTTTATTATGTGTGATTAAATGACTATTGTGTGAGACCATCGTGACACAATTCAATTTCGCATTTGAGTGCACCTGTTTGCTTATAGTACTATCCCCCTCAAAAAGTGGCAGACAGTTTTGTTCGAGAAATAATGCTAATAGCGTCTCCCGTTCTGTATGCTCTAAGAGTTGAACGCTGAATCTTTTCTTTCTTTAGAAAAAGTTAGGTGCGCCACAGTCCATCGTCAAGTTCGCATTTCAAAAACCCTTTCCACACTAGCTCAATATCTAATTCTAGCCTCCTTCGCTTGCTCAGGTTCTAATACTAGCACTAGCGTCAAACAACAATTTTGTACTCTTTCTTAACAAAATAAATTGTTGTTGCAGCTTTTGTTACAGCTTGTACTTTTTAGCTAGATATCGAGAATTTTTTGGTAGACATGTCTCGATGTAGCGGGTATAATTGAATTAGTTTTGAAGTTTGTGAAACTCAACGTCATAGTTTTTTAATAATCGATTATTTTTCCTACCAAATATTTTTCATATCACGAATCAATTAAGTTACGACTTCGCCTACGAGTGTAACCTATTAAACTTAACTGATTACTACACAGATTGATACACAGACATAATATACGCCGTTCCACATATATATTTTGAGTATGATAGTCGTAGCGTTCTATTGCCGGTCTACGATAGCTTTATCAATTTCAATCATGGCGTACAAAATTAAAAGTACAAGGTTAATAAATAAATAATGGAAATTATGGGCAATGTTATATTTCTTCAACGCATTTTTTTATTTAGGTATAAGTGCACAAATCAGATAATTAAAATCATAATACGTTTCTTGTAGTAATTATCGACTATAAATGAAAGGTTTGTCACACTTAGCTTTCAGTTAGTCCAGGTTACTTTCATAATGAAGTCAATTACAGTAATCGGGTTACTAATTTGCGTCTTACCTACAAAAGTAAGAGGTAAGTGTTTAATGAGAGGAAAAACACTACTTCAACGGTGAATTCAGACTTGGTCTACGATTCTTACGCTTAAATGCTCGAATATTCGACGTCTATATTTAAACAGGTTTTGTATTCTGAAAAACAATTTGAAGTCCATATTCTCCCAAAAATTTTACCAAATTCTGTACAAATTATTTACGACAGATATTTTTTTATTAATTTCACATGAAATACGATATTTTCTGCGTTTTTAAAGTAATTACGTGAATATGTTTAAATTATAAGATGAGTTATATAAAATAATTCGAATTTTTGGTTCATGAGCCTCATAAATTACCTTTACTTTTATTTTATTTCAATTGTAAATGGATTTTGTATGTTATTTTTAATGCACCACGCAGAAAAAATGTACCTATAAAAATATTACTTTTTACAATGGTGTGATATGAAGTTCGGCGCCGAATACTTGACGAAATTTTCGAGTTTTATTTTATTTTATAAAACATTTTTACAATTACCAAATTTTAGTGTTGCGTTACACTAGAACGGTGTTAGGAGGTGTATCTAATATAACAGACGGACATAATGTGAGAGATAATTTTTAATAATATATACATATATAATCTTCATTGCAGCGGACCTTTCATCCGAAGTACGGGAGAATTTTAGAGCAATTTTTGAATTATGGAAGTCAGGCGAAGTACATAAGAGAATACCTTTTAAAGTACCTCCTGTAGAGCCATTACCCATGCCACCATTTTGCGATAACATAAACAAACTCGGTGTCAAGTCAGTAATAGAAATAATTATTTAAATTTTCATTTAATAGCCAAGAAATATAAACAATTTTGTAATAAGACAATTGCACTTGATTAACTTGAACTTGAATAAATTTTTAACGCTCATTTAATCACGATGACAAAAATGCCCAGATATTGTCGATTGTCGTGCACATTTCTAAATTTAAAAATAGCAACGCGTTTTCAAAATTCTCTTTTTATCGTATCGAAGGCTTGCAGCCCAAAAGTATGGGATATGTTTGCCATCTTGGTGAAAGAGTTTACCAATCGGCGTAAGGTTCTCGCCGATTGTGCCCCGGGTGTGCCTGACGTACCTATAGGGAATGCGAATAGTATCTACGCCAAACGGGAACGCTCCTTTCGTGCAACCCACGTCTTTTTCGTTTTGTGCTTCAAAATTGGAATACCGTGATTCACTGCCAATTAAAGCCTTTCTTGTTCAATATTCTAACTTAGATTTTCTTTATCCTTACTTAGACTGTTAGGGCGCGTTCCCATTATGTCGTGACGACAGCTTGTCGTGCAGTTTAAAATGTCGTGGCTTACTGCTGCTCACTGCAATACCATTACCTGTCGTTCACGACTTTTTGAACGTTACGATGATAGAATGTCGTGACAATGGGAAGTGCTACAACGACAGCCGTCCGATGATAAATAAAACGTCATGAAAAAATGTGATGACAGATAATCGCAGCTACAAACGTTTCTGTTGTACATACAATAAGGCGGCTGTCGTGAACCGATAAATTATTGCCACGATCTAGTGGGAAGAGTTGTTAAACGATAAAATAAACGTCCACGACACAGTTACGACAGATAGTCGTGAAATGGGAACAAGCTAGACGCGACAGTCGTCCAACAATAAGTAAAACGTTACGACATAATCGGAACGCGCCCTTACTTAGATTCTATGCACGTTTTTGGGCCTGTACATCTTACTTTAAATTAAAATTGCAGAGCGTACGTAGAAACAGGCATATTGAATTTTTATGGACTAAAGGAAATGACTCTTGACAAAATCGATGTTTCGGACACAGCCCATGACATTACCGTATCTATGAGTGCACCCAAAGTGCACATACATTCTGGTTGGTTACTTTATTTATATTAATAATATACGTAAGTTAATAATCATGAATAATTACGAAATTAATAACTTTATCTTTTAATTTTCAGATACTTATAGTATTAGTGGTAAAGCAATGTATGTATACAAAGTCAAGGGGACAGGAACATTGGAGTGAGTGCGCCATTGCCTGGTTTCTTTTTTTGGCACGTCTTCGCAAAAGTTTAACCGAACCATACCAAATCCAATAAAATCTCAACTCGCTTATATAGTATATAGGAGTTAAAGTTTAGAACGTACCTAGAGCTACCGAAACTAATTGTAGAATAGTTACATGATTTGATAATCATGCAGGTACATAATTAAAATTCAACAATCCATTACTTTAAAATTTTTGAATGTTTTTCTAAAATTGTATAACTAATTGGAGATAATAGCATTTTTTTTTTAAATTGGATCCTAACATTTTTTACATCCTCTTTTATTTCAATTGAAGAATTATCATATTATTTCAGTTATTGAGAAAATCAATACATTCGGTATTGTTGATGATAACACTTGAAAATAAAATGAACTATAGCACTTGGAACTCCTGTTAGGTACTTATTAAAATCACGTTGCAACTCAATAAATAAATAGTGGCTGAAAATTATAACAAGTACTAAAACTATATTTTTATTAGAAGGTACTTACAAACACTTGAATTAGTAGGCAAGGTACACTCATTAACCGACTTCATTCTCTTAATTTTTTTTCAGTATCACACTGTTTAACGTAAAAGGTAGTGGGAAAATCCATCTCAAAGGCACAGACACTGGTACGGAGATAGATCAATTAACGGTAAAAATAGCCTGCGAGAAAGCGGAGGTAATAAAATTTTACAGCTTCAAATACTTTAGTTTGATTACAAATACTTTTGCTATGTACTTTTGTGATGAACCAATACTTATAGTCTTCCAAGGCGCCGCTCTATTTACGGTTTGTCGCATTTTTCTGATAATCGTATCTAAGGTGAAGGCCAGACGAGTGTAATCTTATGTTGTGAGTCGCGGTTTTTGAGTCACTTCATTTACGCTGCATTCGGTTTCACATAAAAGTCCGGCTTGTGCCACACGACGACGCAAAATGACTTGTCTACGCGTAATCACAACCGAACTTCGGTTGCACTAGGTGACGTGGAGAGAGAGATGAAGGAAGCAATGTGAGGGATATGTTTATTGGTCTGTGGCTATATGTTACAAATTGATCTGAAAGTTTTCATAAACTTTCATATAGTATATATATGAAACTGCACTATAATCTTTTCACATTGAGTGGATGTAGGTTTCTAACATCGTGTATAGCTTCATAAATACACAATTTTTAAAGGATCCATTGCGCTATATGGCACAAACCCCCCGTATAAATGCTTAAGAGCAACTGAATAAATTACTTCGCCTAGCGCCCCCAACCGACTTTTTTAGGCGAAGTCATTTATTCACGAGATACAAGAGTCAAAAAACGCGACTTACCTACAACTCACAAATTACGCTCGTCTGGCCTCACTCTAAAGATTGGATTGATGGTTTGTCGCATTTCCCTGATAATCGGATCTAAAGATAGTTTAATCTCATTGTAAGTCAATGTTAATCTCTTTTCAGGGTAACTTACAAAATGCCTCATGGCCAATTAACAATTTGATTAACACAAAAGGCCGCCAATTAGTTGAAGCTTTCAAAACAGAAATACAGTCTATAGCCATGAAGCAGGTTCAAAAGATCTTCGGGGAACCTCTTTCCAGGATAAAGTTTGACGACCTGCTTCAATACATGAAAGACATCTTAGATGACACTCTTTTAAGTAAGAGTCTTAAAAGGTCTAATTCGGAAGATGGCTTCTACAATTCTACTTATGTTGACAATGACATAGATGTTTCAACTGTTCCTATTGTTGAAAATGACTTAGACCATTCAACTGACACAGTTGTCAAAGATAGTTTAAATAATTCACCTGATGTTGAAGATACCTTGAAAAATTCAACAGACTTCCGGAAAATTCGCACCGGTTCACAAACCTTGAGAGACCGCAATTAATATAATGGAAGAAATTAAGTGCGGTGCTGTTCCAGTTATTTATTTCAAAGAATGTAACATAGTCTGGATAAACATAACAACTAAAATACGTTTTTTTCTTTGTGTCCTGCAGTATACCCGTTATTCCATATTGTTGTAAAGTATACGAGTAATATGCATAACCCAGCATAACCTGACTTTGTAGATAATGACGACTGAGTCGATTAGCACTAAAATAAATTTGATCAGATGAAACGCAAAAAAAAATTACAAAATTTAGAATTGAAAATAGACTAAAAACCATTTCTATTCTGGCACGGCAATTCTTTCCACCCATGAAATATTACATTCTAAGGTAAAATTTTACAATATATTCAGTAATTTCAATGTAAAAAAAAAGAGGTTGACATACCCTTCATACTCTTTTAAAATGTCTTGTCGCGACTGTTGTATCCATTGCAGTTGATAACTTATGTTTATAAGCAATTATACTGCAGAAGTTTGGTTGTGATTATCCTTAAAGGTCTAATAAAACATTTTCTCAAAGCTGCTTCAATAAGTCTTTATAATTTTCATGGATATAATGTTTTCATTTATTGTCCTAAATAAATCAATTTCGTTACTCAGTGTTAGTTACAGTTTAAAAAAATAATTCATGCATTACTGAACATACACAATTTTTTTTTAATTGGTAAGTCTCTTTGAACCCTGTTTTAATATTTATCGTCAACTGCCATTTTGTTACGGCGAAGAAATTGGACGCTTGAGTTGGGTATTTTGTATAATTTTTTATCAGGTAATTAACGACTATTTTGTTATGAAAGTGTGTTTCTGAACAATTATTTATTATCGAAGGCTACTGATACATACATACATATTCTTAAATTCATGGACATTTCAATACAAAAGCAAATGTTGTGCTTAAAAAAAATTTGACTTAAGAATTTATCAGATATTCTTAACGGTTTCGTTACGTTACGAAACTGACGAAATATAAAGTTGCATATAATATGGCAAACAAACTGAAACATGCATAATATTAATAAAAAAATATTAACTACAATTAGGTTTGTTTGCAGAAATGGCACCCATGACGAATACCGAAACGCAAAAAAAAGATCGTGAACGCTTCAAAAATTACCCCGTTAAATGTGAAGTTTTGAGAAAAAAACGTTTTCATAGAATTAAATCAAATAAGAAGAAAATAAAGTATTTAAGCGATACGCAAAAAAGTAAAGTAAAAACATCAAGTTAAGGGGATCTACTGAAGCAAAAGGAAAAGAAAATCAACTAATAGTACATTATGATACAAGTGTGCTAAGTTGGTCATTACACACGAGGCGTTATTACTCGCGCGAGCCGCAGGCGAGCGCGATAAGAAAGCCGAGAGTGTAATGATCAAAGCACACGTGTTTCATACGACGTTTTTCAACACATTTGCGAGGAAAATGAAACAAACTTGAGTAAAATGGAAATGAAAAATAGCTTTATTTGGCATTAATTAAAAGTTTCATATGCAGCCATGTATTTTTCTCTGGATTTCGAAGGTAATAAACTGTCACTTGCGTTTTGTGCCTCTGTGAGGATTTCGGGCGGTGTTAAATCCATCAAAATGTTTTCTTCCGTGCTTGAGCAGGACATTTTAAACACCTAGGTAATTATCTAACACACAGCGTATATAAATGTTTCGAACGTATCAATGGAAATTGGCGCGCAGAGTTATTTTTTCTGCGCCTGGCGCCGCGTCGCGGATATGCGCGCGCAGGTGCTTCGGCAATAATGAGACTTAGGTGAAATTCCTAAACAGCCAATGCGAAATAATATAAATATGTCCTTATTTCACTCAAATTCGTGTAAAATATTATCCAAAATAAGTCATTTTATTCAATTAAAGTTTTATAGGTGTATATTGTGTATGTTTTTCTATATTTATCACATCAAATAAGAAATATAAATTTATTAATAAAAATATTATTTGTAAGGTAAGACTACACAACCGTATTAAACAGAAATAAAAAAAAAACTGTGACCCTGTTTGTTTGGGATTACTGTCATTGTAATTTGAATCTTATAATATGTAGGTTAGAGCTGTTTTTTTAATAGACCAAGTTAATTTCAAAGACATAACCCGGATAATTTAAGAATGCATAGTTTTAATACATAGGCCTTGTTGTGAGATACATCTTAATCCGGTTAAGCCTATACTTATTACACACACGTTTTGTAATATAATTACAAACGCGTGTTCAATAGCTAGGTTTATGAGCCTAAAAGCGATACAATAAGAAGCCCGTTACGAGCAAATGTGTTGAAAAGATAAATAAACACATTCAAATGAAAAAAGTATTGAAGTGCAGCAAGATATAATTATGGAAAGTAAGAATAAAATAGAAGAAAGAAGAAGCAGTACCGAAAAGAAAAGAAAATAAAACAAGACCGCAATTTTAATTTCGATATTGTTATGCACTAAGAGGGTTTATTGTTTTAAATATTTTTATTTTGTTAGTGTGTTATAATGGTTATTTGAAAGTTCCTATCCAAGTAAAATTTCCCTCGCTAGATGTATGTGCATTGTGATGTGTAAATTTTATGTTGATGTTATGAATAATGTGATTTCTGTAGAGCGGAAATTAGCTAAGTTATAAAGAAAAATAAATGTATCGGTAAATATGTTATGACATTTTACTTACTCAAAATTAAATACCTACATGAGAAGCCAGATATTATAGATGTCTAGTGACCTTGACATATGCGTTCGCAGCTTTATGTATCAGTTTCATTATGTATCAGTTGAGTTAAGTTTTTTCGCCTGGGTGCAATTTTCTGCGTTTGACCCATTGGTTTGACCCATCAATTGTATTCATTTTTATGGACAACTCACACTGGACCAAAAAAATTACTTTGACAGTTGACAGCAGAGAATAGTTTTCACAAAAAAAGACTTCATGTTTCTTAGACAGTTTCGTTGTATCTTCTGTTGTTTCGGGTTTCCTCATACTGTTCCATTTAAAAAAACAGTCTGTATAACCCATTGACTTACAAATAAAATAACCAATAAAATTAGTCTTATGATTTTTTTCTTCAAAAATTACTTTAAATCGTTCTCCTGAATTTTTTTCCAACCGCACGTTAGACGTTACTTTTCCAGAGTCGAATTAATATACCTATATTATATTTTTTTATACTTTTCTAAACTGATTCTTGTCGGTGTTCTGAGAAGTGCCTCGGATTGTATTCTGTTGCTCTGGTGCAGGGAATTCCCTAACACGAAGGAAGAGGTGATTGGTGTTGGTTGTCAGGCATTGACTTATTGTCAGGTACATTATTATATTATTGTTATGATCTTAATTGGTAAATATATTGTGACAGCAGAAAATAAAACACGGTGACATTGACTTTGGTATGCACGATTTATAAAAAGAAAAATACAGATTTAACTAAAGTACTAATAATATACCGATTTTATGATTAGCAAGTTTGAAATATCTCTTTATAAGTATGTTTTAAATATTGTTGAAAAAAAATGGTTCTCAATTGTACTGTATTTTTTTGTATGTTTTTTATGCGATTAGGTACTCCCACATTTGTGAACCGATTTCGATGATTCTATTTTATTGCAAGGAGGTACCTCAGCAGTGGTCCCATTAAAATTTTTGAAGAAAATTTTATTTATGGTATTTTTTGAATATTCAAGTTGTGTTTTCACAATTCCACAATTTTGAGCTACGACCACTACGACAATATTTGGTTTTAAGTGCAACGTATTTACGTAATATTGAGTTATGGGCATTTCTCCAAAGCCGCAATTTTCTGTGTCCATGCACTACAGTCCACTTATTTATCGAAACAAAAATCTACAAAAAACAAGGGAGTATAATATAGGTCGAAAGCTACCTGAAGAGCACAAAATCTTCGCAATAAATCTTTCGGACCTAATGTAAAAAGAAATCCGAAAGGTCTAACCTGACAACGATGGCGTGTGGAATGCAGAACCTAACAAAAAGTTTCTTTTTTCTCAAAATTGGAACCGTATATCAATATTAGACTTTAGTTCACGTATAATACATTAGATGACAGTACTTTTAATCTAAATTTCACAATAAACTATACAATAGTTTTATCACAATAAAAGTTTGCTACGTATCCCAATTCGGTGATAGTTACTAATCACGCTACAAGTCAGGGGGGCTACTCTCGATCTCCGTCCGACATCCGTCCGAAACAATTACTGTCAAATAAGAAATATTCGACAAAATTAAAAGTCAAGTATCCAGTATGAAGCTTCATTCGCTTCACGCGTCTTTTCATTTGGTCAAGTATTGCTTATTTGGCAGTAATTGATTCGGACGGATGTCGGACGAAGATCGAGAGTAGACCCCCAGAAGTAAGGCATTTTAGAAGCTTCGTAATTCGTTCGCATTATTCGTCCATCACGCCCCTGCGGCTGGAGAGAACAGGTGGATGATTTTGTTGCTGATGTTCAGACTTTTTGCATGTAGGTAAATACGTAGTTCGGTGGATTTGATCCAGGTTGATTTTTGAATTCGGTGTATACGATATTTCAGAAACTCAATTTTATGGTTGTATGTAATATTTTTTATACTATGTGTTGTAACGACTAAAATATAATAACAATTTATTGGTTTTACAAGTGTTGTCGTTTACGAGTAATATTTAAAAAAATATATTTTCTGAATCCCGTGGCCTTGAATTCGGTGGATTTTATGCCACCGAATTCTGAAAAGCTTCCACCGAAGTCGGAAAAACCTGCCTTTGAAGCCATGTGACGGAGAATGCAAGGGTTTTGAAGCGTAAGTTTCGATAGGATTCTGGCTTAAAGCTATAGGATGTATATCGACGTGTGACAAATACTGCGAGGTCATCGTTGATATGGCGTAGGTTTCAACGGTAAGCGATTGACGGTTTAAAGCTTCCAGCTGATTATCACAGTGTCGTGCAGAGCGCAACGTTACAGGTGCAATGCGAACTCAGGGTTACAGCAGAGCTGGTGTGACGTAGAGTTTGGCGGGTGATCGGTCAAAGGTTTTAGGTTGAGTATTGATAGACAATAGGTAAGAAACCTCTGGATACCTACGTCGATACGTGTGACATGGAGTGCAACATTATATACAGAGCGGCATTAGAATCCATAGGTATGTTGGCTGGTTGATTAAGTTTTGAGGAAATACGCCACAGGCTGAGTGGCATAGAAATCCATGGATGATATATCGGGTGGAAATTTGTATTGCCACCTGGAGGGAAAGTACTCCAATACACAATATACAATACTGGAGGTAGAAATTTTTACTTAAAGGAAACATTCCTTTATTTTTTTAAAGAAATAAAACTGCATTCATAGATTTTCGAAAATTTTTAGCAACACGCGGGAATCGAACCCGCTTTAATCAGAAAAAAATGCACCCTGCACTTGTATTGCATCGATCGATAGGGTTAATTATAAGAATAAAATCTCTCTCACAAAATTGGTCAATGAAATAAAAAAAAAAAAACCATGAAATCTTAACGTATTTTAATAAAACGAAAAAAATGGTAATCTACCTAATTAGTTGCTCGAAATGAGCTCCATTTTCTTGGATACACAAATTTAATCTTTTAACGAATTCATTTTGAGTAACTTTTAATAACGTGTTGTGATGAATTGTATTACAAATCGTATTCTGAACCTCAGCCTTCAACTCGTTTACAATCGCATAGGATTTAAGGTAAATTTGGTTTTTAACATATCCCCACAAAAAAAAAATTACGCCAACGATAATTAACAAGTAATCTGATGGACCTTTGAGTAAAAGTGCTTTAACTTGACCCATTGAATTTGTAACTCCAAATTTCATGGTTTGTAAGAGAGATTTCATCCTCATAATTGACCCTATCGATTGATTTAATAAAAGTACAGGGTGCATTTTTTTAATGATTTTAGCGGGTTTGATTCCCGCGTGTGACTAGCAATTTTCGAAAATCTTTGAATGCAGTATTATTTCTTTTTAAAAATAAAGGAATGTTCCCTTTAAGTAAAAATTTATATCTCCAGTATTTAACGAACTTTCCTTCCAAGTGGCATTACAAATTTCCACCCTGTATAATAATCTGAGGAACGGTTTTCTTCTGCTGGAAAAATATAGGTTAAGGTCATCGGAACTATCTTTGAGGAACAACTGGTTGATACGCTGAAGGCGTCTATCATAAGCATAAGAGTAAGCATAAGCATAAGAGTGTCAGCGTATTTGTTACTTGTTTGGAAATAATGTTGATTTTATTTGTAGTAGTTATTAACTTTTCTTGACATTTTATTGATTCACCAATAATAATAATGTTTATTCCCCGAAGTATAATAACGCACAACAACGCACACACTCAACATAGCCCCCGCACTAGGGAAACCCTGTGTCGCGGGTGCCATTGACACATATACATAGACAACCACAAATTACACCCAAACTCACGAGAGAAATAAATGTAGTCCATATGGGACTACATTTATTTCTCCCGGCCCGCGAATCGTACCTGGGACCTCTGCGTGGCAGTCCGGCATGGTAACCGTTCGGCCACTGAGGCAGTTAAATAATATATTTATAATGTACGATGTATATGAAGAAAAATTCATAAATACCACATAAATACATAATAATATATTTATAAATTTTCTTCATATTAAGCTTGACGCTATTAAGGTAATTACGAAAAATAGAAAAATGGTAATAAACTGTTTATTTCCTTAAATTGTGGGATAGTAGAAGATGTAACAAATATAAGAGATGATACAACATAAACAGTCCTAGTCCTATGTTTCGTAACTATATTTTAATTACCTATACTTGGTTATGTGTATTTTTTTTATATAATACTAAGTGACGTGACGAACAAGTCGCGTGTCTGGTGGTAAGCGTCACGCGTATCCTTAATAGTTGCAGTGTCACTCAGACCTTCAAATCAAAAAGATCTGAGAGGCACTGCCACTGCGCCCGACACCCTGAGACATAAGTTGACAAGTCCCATGTGCCTGTAATTTCACCAGCACCCTTGACATTACTGCTTGGCGGCAGAAATATGTAAGGTGGCTGTACTTCCCTGGTCGAACTCTTTCACAAGGAGCTCTACTGCTACTATTATTTTATAATGTTGATTGACTTGCAAGAATAAGTATAGTCAGCATTGACTTACAAATAAACAATTTTGCAAACAAATATGTAGGTCACCAATATGTGAATAGATTGATTAAATACATGTATGACCTTCACGAGTATTCCATCCTCCATCGCAGGCACGTAACAATAATACTCAATTTATATTGCCGCGGAATGGAATGGAAGCGAATTTTTGGAACGATATTATATCGCATGCTCGAGAATGCTCGCCCATTCCGCGGAAGATTTTGGCTCGTATCTAGTTTGTACGTTTCACAATTGACCATAAAGTTCATTATGCTATGTACAATATCGTTACAAAAATTCGCTTCCATTCCTAATTCGCGCGCCTGACGCGATCTTCAAGTAGCAATGGTGATATCATCATGTTGGCCATTCACGATGAAGAGAAATACTACCCTTCTGCGCATGGATACAGGCATGAATGATATTGAGGCCACCGAGCTTGAACGTTTACCGCACGAGTATCCCGTACGCGTACCTATATAACAGGAAGAGTCCCGTACATTCTTATGTCTTCTGCCTCTTGGCAGTAGGTTTAGTTATCGATTTTCGCCAATAAGAGCGTGCTTTAGGGGAGAATCTGCGCGACTGCACGCTGAACGGGGGGCTCCTTCGTCTTCAGCAATTTGATGTGGAATGTCAATGAGCGGTGATCTGGTTGGTCTGTAGCGTGGCGAAAGTGATGGGGTCATCGGAGTCGTTGACGACTTCTCTGGTTCGACTAGAAACCATTGTATTCTTTCTTCTATAAGTTACAATGTGTGGACAGCAAACAGTGCCCGCCGGCGCTAGCTATTGTAGTGCCCGCGCGCAATCAATGCCCTGGCGCTCTGTATTATAGATACGTGATCAAAATGGAATACTATTTTCCCCAGTGATGAGTAATATTGTTGAAAAGCCTGTTGACTTAGGTCACGCCGCGATCGACACGGGCTCTTTGGAGGCGTCGCGAGCTGCGCTCGGCTCCCCGGTTAGTAAGCCGGCATTGATATCAAATAATATAGATGGATAATTTGTTATCAATAAATGAAGATAATGCCATTTATATATACAATAGAAACAGAAGTGGTTCTCGTTATACTTCCTTGTGGAACACTTTGATTCATTCTTGATGGTTTGATAAACACGGCCTACTGCAAAATACAAAATAGTACTTTCTAACTAAGAGTAAATTTCTCAATTCCACAAAGAAGCTATTAAAAGCGTTTTCATTATCAACGGAGTCTATAATTTTCGTGTACCTAAAGTAGAAAACAAAGAATGTCATTAAAAAAAATCTAATATTATAATAAGACGCAAGTAATAAATAGGATTAAAGGATTACAAAGTATAAGGACAATAAATACCACATACATTAAATTAAATTACTGATAACAGATACGAAGATACTACGTAAATGGGAACAGGTGTAAGGAGTTGTTTATTTAAAATACTCCTGATAGGATCTAAATTATGATTGATCGATTTTGCAACATTATAAGTAAGAAACATGTTTGATAAATTAGCTAAACTATCTTAAATTTCGGCAAGTAAGTATGGTTATTTAATTATTTATTTTTATTTCCAAAAGGCTTGTAAAGAACTGGTCCGATCTGTTTCAGAAATATGAAGTGCACGGTTTTTACATTTATTTGTTTATTTGCATTCGGGCAAGCAGCCGTTGCAGGGCTGCAGAATGATTTTGGTATGTAACTTTTGAATAAAAATTGTTTAAAAATTTTAAAAATAATAACTTTTGCACCAATATGATCAATTTTATGATGGGAAAAATATTTTGAGCACGAAATTTTGTATAGAATAACTGATTTCTTTTGTACCGTGAAATGATGTTAATACATCGATATTACCTATCTACCAAAAAATATTGTGAATAAAAACAAATGTTTGGAAATCATTTATAATAATTGTTGGTTTCACTTCTCTGGATTATTTAGTCTCATTCAGTACATTTCGTTTTACAGATGATACAGCAACTGGACTGAAAGCTGCTTCTGACTTGGTTAACGAGGATGACCAACCACTGTCACAAAAGTTGGCTTCACTGGAAATCTCGCAGCTAAACGCCGTAGCTGATCTCATTAGGAATATACTAGAAGGATTCAGGGTTATCGTGATATATGGAAATGACATCTTACCCCCTCTAGACCCACTGCATATTCCGTCTCTCGGTCCTATACATTTCACGACTACAGGGTAAATTTTATTAAATCATTTATATATAAATATTTCATTTCATGTATCGATGGCATAAACTGTAATGTTTGCTAACGTGGTGAAGGCGTAAGGTACTCGCCGATTGTTGCCTAGGGTCCGCCAGACGTCGTTTCGATGGAACGGTACGTCCGTCGTGCGGGGAGGCTCCTGTTATGCACCCCGAAATCATTATAATGCTGCCTTCGTTGCGTCGCACTGGTTTCACGCTGTTTGTGAATTAACGTCATTTGTTGAAGAGTTCGCGTGACAGCGCAATTGGAGGACTTCAATATGCAAGGTCTGCGTTGGTACGTTGTAGACGATACATCTTTCAACGCGCTGAGGTTAACAATTGGAATGAAGATGACCGTACCGTGGATCACTGCAACAGGTGCATGTTTTTTTTAGCAAGTTTAATCTACTTACTAACCCTGTATATTTTATTTTTATACGTGTCAGACCATAATTATTGGTTAACAGATATACTTATAGCTCATTTATCATTCGAAACAAATAATGATTACAGGTACGTACGACGCACATGCCTTCATAACGTTGATTCAACATCGTGCTGGTGGTCGGTACAGGTAAAGAAAATTATTAATTTTAGAGTGGTTACACTCGACGACATTTAGCAGCGCGTCTGCAGCGATTCAGTCATAGGGTCGTATTCCAGAACTGTACTCAATGCTCAAGTCAGGATTTGAGCAGACTTGAGTATGATTTCAAGCACTGGAAATACGACCCTAATGGCAAGGACTTGAGTATGATTTTCAGTGCTCACTGCAATACTCAAGTCCTGACTTGAGTATTGAGTAGGTAGAGTTCTGGAATACGACCTGTAATGCAGTAGCGTTTCTACCGCTAATCATCAACTTTTACACACAAGCGCGACTTAAGCAGCTATACAATCGCGCATTTGTAAAGCAGCTGAAATTCGCCGTGTGTAACCGCTCTTACATAAATAAATATTGAAGTACCTTCTTGAAGATAATAATAATATGTACTTGACGTAATAAAAAGGTTTGACTATAATTTTGCTGGAGATTGTACCTACTGAATTCACAGAATGAGCGTGGTCAATAAATTTTTTTTGTTGCCAAATCTTATTGACATCACGAGTCAGTTGAAATATAGTTACATCTCTATCTAAATAATATTTTATCAGGTTCTTCGTAAATCGCCTCGAAACTAGTGTGGACCTCCGGGTGGGTACTAACATTCTGGGAGGCGGAACTCTAATCCTTCGCGAGCTCGATATTGACTTAAAAATCCATGATGTGCAGGTAATTCAAATGTTTTTATTTTTAATAACTTAAATAATAATATAGTTTGTTTCGAGTTCTTAGGTTTTCGCCATTTTTGCACATAGGAAATGAAACTATTTTTTTCGGATCTAAAAAATAACTGACTCAGCCGTGAACATGGGACCAGAAAAAAACTCCGAAACGTTGGTTTGTTTCAAAAAACAAGTATACGCGATTTAAATCCGAAAAACATAGTTCATATCCTAAATACATTTGTTTATTTTGTTCCACAATAATTGATTGAAAACTAATGGAACAGAGCGCGTTTGTGTCTGTGTGTACGCGCGATATTTATACCCACATAATTGCCATGAAAAGCTTTGTTCACGAATATCTAATTTTAGTGGATTACGCAAAATTAGCTGGCTAATACTTCACCACAATAGCCTAAACGAAGGTCGATGAACTATTTTTTTTTTTATTTAAGGTAAACATTGAGGGCATGGTTGGGTCGAGTATCCTCAATTCAATGATCAATTCGATGGTCCAAAATGCCGCTCATAACCTGTTGGTCGAAGAATTGCATCTTATTAGTGACATGCTCAGCAGAGAACTATTTGACGTCATCAACGACCTCCTCAGCAATTTCACACTGGATGATTTACTTGGGATCAATTGATTCCTGACGTTCGGTCCTAGAATTTTACACTTTTCCTAAAAGAAACGGAAAGCCAACAAAAATAAGAAAAAGAAGGTTATTGCGTAAAACATCAAAAACTCTTGCTTCTAGTCAATGATTCAAAATAATTACTTTATTTACTGATTTACACACTAACTAACTAAATACAAATTTATGTATAGATTTTCTATAGTCCAAAAAATAGCAGGACTTCTGACAAATAAATGATTGTTTGAGCGCAATCTTCAGTCTTTAGTTTTCACTACGATGTATTTTGCGAAGTACTTTAAACAAAAAGAAGAATATCAAGATTCGGATTTACCATTGTTTTATTTAACCCACGATGAATTTAAATTATAGGTACCAGCAGCAGCGTAACCAGAACAGTTACATTCACCTTCTGAACCTGTAATCTTTTCCTTCCTAAACTTGACTTTACCATAGTAAAAAAAATAAAATAAAAACAAGTAAATGAGGTACCCTCTTTTCAACAAAAAAAGAAACATCAAAATTGGTTCACAAATCGTTAAGTTATCGCGTAACATACATACAAAAAAAACATGCAGTCTAATTGAGAAATTCCTCCTTTTTTGAGGTCGGTTAAAAGTACAGTGGAGTTGAGAACCTTATTTAACCGACTTAAAAAAAGAAGGAGGTTCTCAATTCGTCCGGCATCACGTCGCAACTACTCCCTACTACTATTGCCGGAGTTGGTTAAAAAATTAAAATAAATCTTTTTATGATAGTATTTTCGGCATTTTTATTTAGAGGATGGAATAGTCTAAGCATTTTTAATACTCTTTGGGATATCATCGTTTAAAGTTTTAAAAAAACTATTGTTTTAAAAAAAGATCATATTTAAAAAAAAACAGAAATACAAGTGGACCACGGGTGTACTAGAGAAATTGTAAATTTATAAGTAAGTACTTAATATAATTACGGAAAATAATAACTACTGACAATTTTTGTAATATATAATTTTAGAATTCAAATGGGCAACTTTCAGCTTTGAGCATGAACTCTGATGGTTTGAGAACCTTTGAAGACTTTTATTATAGCTGTTTCTAAAACTCGACGCCATCAAAACCAAAATTTCTTTAGAAATTATAACTACCGTTGCTTTGAACAAGAATAGAAGTAATTAGCATACCTAGCGAGTATCATAAGCCGTTATTATACTTTTATAGCATGGAACACTAATTTGGGTTTACATTGCAACATTTGGTTCGTACGTGCTTATTTTGCCTTTTAAAACTCGATACAATGTAAAAAAAATACCAATAAATGTATGATAACTAGGATAGATAACACTATGAGAACCTTTGCTGCATAAAACTTAAATAAAAACTATCTTTAGAAAGTCCATAAAATTCGAATCTCTGTTTACGAAGAATTTGCCAAAAGTACGTAGGGTAGGTACACCAAATTAATTAATGTTTTCCTAATCTGAATTGGTGATTACTGTATTTTAATTATTATTTTATCGACTCCATGGTAACAAACACTTTACCAATTACTTGGACACACTTAATTTGTCATCAATACCCATTGTAATTAAAAACTTTATAAAGGTGCCGTCAAAGTTAGACCGTTATAACCACAGTACAAATACTCACAACCTCGTTATCGGGTTTATACAAGTCAATGGGTTTATATTTATTTTTAAGTATGTGTCATCTCTTTCTTTGTTTAGACATTTAAAGTTGGAGGATTAATAAAGACTCATTATCTACAATAAATTATGATTCAATTTAAATTGAAAAAGAATATTTAATATAAATAATATATATGACACTGGCAAAATATGGCAGCAAATTTGAATAGGTATATAAAGAAATGAAACTATTTTTCCGGATTTAAATCGCGTTTATTTGTTTTTTCAAACAAACTGACGTTCTGAGCCTTCGGCTTATGTGTAACAATTGCGAAAACCTAAGAACTCGATAGGTGTATAAGATCAATGCAATGAACTAATTATTTTTATGAATTGAATTTGACCATCGCACTATCGCACTCTTTAAAATTTTCTTTTCTATTTTTGTCGTTTTTCGCGATTTTCATTCTCGTTGAATCGTTTTTTTTAACGACTATTTCTTTTTGTTGTGGTAACCCTGTTGCTCTTGTCAATAATGTCAATGTTACAATTTTGTGGTAATTAAGACAGTGACAGGACTGACCACTCTCACATAGTGTTCTGTGACTCTCACACTCTATCTTTATAATTTGCGCTCACACTGACACCACGGTAGTAGGGAGAGAAGCCAAGCTAAATTATTTCAACTCTCTATGTTTAATGAAAAGGAATTGCTAGCAAAATTTAAGTTATTATTTATTTATAACAATGGCAGGCAATTTTTGGCAAAGCTCACATCACCAGCAGTGGATACTGGACAAACAGGATCTCATACGCGACCGCCAACACGACTTGAATATTTTGTCTGAAGAAGAGTATCAGAAAATTTTTAATTTCTTTGCTAGCATTATCCAGGTCTTAGGCGAGCAGTTGAAACTCCGTCAGCAAGTGATAGCTACCGCTACTGTGTACTTCAAACGGTTTTATGCGCGAAATTCCTTGAAATGCATAGACCCCTTGTTGCTGGCGCCAACTTGCGTATTTCTAGCATCCAAAGTGGAGGAATTTGGTGTTATATCGAACTCCCGTTTAATAACCACATGTCAGACAGCTATTAAGAACAAATTTAGCTATGCCTACGGTCAGCAGGAATTTCCATATAGAACAAATCACATATTGGAATGTGAATTCTATTTGTTGGAGAATTTGGATTGCTGTTTGATCGTATACCAACCATACAGGCCATTGCTAACATATGTGCAGGACATTGGGCAGGATGACCAGCTCCTAACATATGCCTGGAGAGTTGTTAATGATTCCTTAAGAACTGATGTCAGTTTGTTGTATCCACCATATCAGGTAATCAATAAAGTATTTCTCTATAAGTAAAATTTCTTATAAAGTATTACTTCTGATTTGTTTCTAAACAGAATTAGGTAAAAATCATGGACAGCCTAAAATGAAAACTTCAATGGTAAACATAATGTTTAAATATTGTTAATTCCAGATTGCAATAGGCGCACTGCATATAGCATGTGTTATGCTTGGTAAGGAGAATTTAAAATCTTGGTTTGCTGAACTCAATGTTGACATGGATAAGGTACATATTGGTAACATATCATAATAATATTTATTTTAATTTATATTAATTTATTCATTTGTTATGAATATTTAAAAACTGTGTGTGAAGTTGCTAAACTCGGCTACGGGTTAAAGTATTATTTAAACTGAAAACTAAGCTAATTTATTTATAACAAACATGTAGGCCAGCATTTAAGTAAAATGACTAGGTTTTTTTGTTTGCTTTGGGATAGTGCTGCAAATATGCAAAAAGGTGCTGTTAGAGTAATCTACAAACCAAAGTAGACATGCATGAAACAGTGCTTGAAAAATGATACAATATCACATGCAATATGTTGGTCAAAGTAATACTACAGTGATATCACTATCACTCACATCACTAAACTAAAAATGAGATATAAGCATCCCTCTTGTGCTTGTTTGAAAGAAAGAAAAAATGTTTCATGATTAAATTGAGTCACTATACTCACCTAAGTCTAATACTTACACTAAACAACAACTGAATAATTTTTATGTTAGCAATTATGCATAGTGACACAAAAGAGAAAAGAACATGACTCAGCAAAATTTTTATCTTGGGTGAAACAGATGCTGATTTTCAGTCATTCCTGTTTCAGCACCGACTGAGTCTTAAGAAAACTTACTACTTAATAATGTTGCCATCACTCATAGATATCCTATTCTGACGGTTGCAACTAATTGAGTACACTAGAGCAGATACATTTTAAGCAGTGTAAACAAGTTTAAACAAACAATTTTTAAGTAACACAGACTGCAATATAACTAATGTACTATTAAAAGGATTTATTTAATGTTTATATTGTAATTGTAATAATATTCAATATCAAACAAAACAAGGCTCAGTATGTTGTGTTGTGTCGGTTCGAGTGATTTTATAAGTGATTCTCATGTAAGTGATGTGTGATATTACATGACATTTGCATGTTATCACAATTGCAATATTACTCGCATTGTTCACGCATCTCTACCCCAGAGTATATTTGAGGGAGAAGTTAAGGAAATTAACATTCACACAGTATCACAGTACATTTGTGAAAATATTTTGGTATGGTGTAATAATAGGCTGGTGTCCTCGATTTGATGAAAAGATTTGCGTCTAGGGGCAATTTTCTTTGTTGTGAGTTCAGATTCCTACTTGTGCTACTTAAGCACCTCCAAAAATCTCAGCACCCCTCTAGGTTTGCTGAAGTCTTCAGGGATCGACCTCGACACTCTAATGTACTTTGTCCTATAGTTGGCCGCATTCCACATAGAAGTTTATTGAAGGTGTTAGCGACCAACTGTGATGCAGCCTCTTTCGTAGTTATGGTTTTTTTTATACATTTTATATATCTTTCCTGTCTTTGTTTTACAAAATTTTGGCAGTTGCCTTTGCCACGCTGCATTGTTCAGTTTAGATTGAATATTGTATTCTATAATCATCTCAAATTAGACATGACTTAGAAAAGGTAACCTTATTAATTTGGCCTCTTTTTAGAAAAAACAAGATTTTTTTTGCCAAGAAGATGACCTAGAAGGTTTCATACCATTTTAGAATCTTGATTAGTTGCGTCAACTTTTGTAAGACATTGCCATGGTAGTCTAGGTACATTTTTTTACTGTATGGGTTGTCAAAGTTACCTTGAAAAAAAAAATCTGCTAAAAATTTTAAGAAAAAAATTAAATACTTTTTTTTTTGTACTGATACTTTAGCAATTCGGGCTTTGTTTGGCATTGAGTTCAATAGCTGGGCTATTTGGGTTACCGTTACAAAAACTAGAACAGCAAAATTAGCAAATTTGTAATTGTAGTCCTTAAAGTGGTGTACAAGTCGTACATTTTCAACAATTTTCATTAAAATGCTTGTATCACAACAAAAATGACTCTGATTTTTTAAATATTTTTTTCTGGGTTGTTACAAATTTTTTATCGTTGACTTTTGGGACACCCTGTATATTATGGACCGTGACCCAGTGGCAGTTAGAGTATGTAGTTCTGCCGTTTGAGCTAAACAAGTTTTTGGGATAGATAGGAGTTGAGCATTGGGAGTGTATCCCTAGCCTGTCTAGAAACCGTAAGAATTGTTCAGGTATTGTTATGAGAAGTTTTGCATCTTTGTGTATTTGTTTTGGACTCGTTAGTGAAGACTAGCAGTTGTCTTTAACAATCTTGTAACGGATTTCTCTATGTTAGGTCCTCCTATGCTTCCCTGGCTGGGCCAGCTCTGTTCGATATTCGACCAGAGGCCGAATAGCATATTCGAAATATTCCACCTAACTATTCTAACTGATTAACGTAGATATCAAAATTGGCACGAAAAATACCACATACCTCTACTTATTACCAAAAACTTCAGATACGATAAATAATTTTGTAATAATTTAAAATTATGACTCGATGTAGACTTACTATCTGTATAGTAGGTACTTTTCATTTGACATGTACTTTATCTAACCTTTTTTTATCTATCGAGTTCTTAGGTTTTCGCGATTGTTACACATAGGAAATGAAACTATTTTTCCGGATTTAAATCGCGTATATTTGTTTTTTCAAACAAACCGACGTTTCGGGCCCTTTACAGGTCCCATGGTCACGGTTGACTGAGGTGGTACAGTCTTTAACCAGTTATGTCTAATATTGATGCAAACCACCCTATTTTTTCACTATAGTTACAATAGTTATTAATTAAATACCTTATTTTAATTTTACAAAGAAAACATTCCAATTTACGTTACATTAAGTTTTACAAATTATTTTATTGAATGAATTTTTATTAAGTTCAATTTATTATTAATTAATAATAGAAATTAGAATAAACTAAAATATGTTTTGATCGTTTAGAAAAATAACTTAGTTATATTACATTTCCTTTAATCTCTTATATAAAAAAAATATATTTTTACTTGATAATTAATTTACTGCGTTTTTTTCTTAGACATGAGACTCTGTTTTAAGTATTTATATTTGGCCGAATAGGAACGGCGAAGAACAGGCGCAATAATCTTAATACCCAATTGTACTCAAATATTTATTGCAACTCTATTAAAAACACAATTTTCAGATTCAAGAAATAGTGAGAGCAATTATCAACCTATATGAAATGTGGAAAAGTTATGATGAGAAGAAGGAAATTCAAGGGTTGCTAGCGAAAATGCCCAAACCCAAGCCCGCTCCACAAAGATAAAAGAAGAAACTATTTGACTGGATATATAATTAGCAAAAAGTTTACAAATAGAAGTAAGGCGTTTGGGCTTTGCACGTAATGTATACAAACGGACAACATTATTCTGAGTTGTTTACATAAGATTCAGATTTACGTAATGGAAAGTGATAATACAAAATAATAAGCTAAGGAGAGTGTGACCTGCCTAATTTTGACCTTAGTAACATTATTTTTAATTTGAAATATTTCTATAAAATTAATTGAAACATTATTTTAACTATCACTAAAGCATTTTTCAATAGTATTCTTTTATTAACAATAATAGTTGTATATAATAAATGTGTGTACATAAAAAAGCTATTTCTATAAACGGTATGTTATAAGAATAATTGATTACACTATCAACTTTTACCTCATATTGAAAGCAATCAATAAATACTATTTGATTCAAATATAATCAATTTGAATATTGTAAAAATATATTTTCGTAAATAACAATGAATTAGATTTACTAGTTATTCTAGTTTAGGGACTCGCATACCTATCCAATGTTAGGTATTCCGTAAGTACAAGTATAATGACATAAGTAAACCTTTTCCGTTAAAAGACTGATGGTAAATTTGTAACAGAATATTACAATAAATTTTAAGAAATTATATGTTATTGTATTTTTTGTTTGAATCCCTTGTGTACCTAATTAGGAGTTAGTTTTGATGACGTGCCCTAAAACGATATCGCCTGTTTTGGAATTTTAGCAGGTAAACAATATAGCAGGTACATGTTAACCAAGCAGTTGACCAATAACGTATGAAAAAGCGAATCTCTTAACAAATCGAAGTTAAACAAACCAAACAAGTGTGGTACAATAAATATTTAAGGATGACTTTTGATATGTAGCGTATATAGCCTCGGCCAAAATGTATACTTTTATATTGAAACAATTTATACAATGCTACTTTTACTATACAGAGTGTTTTTTATGGGACTGTATGGGTAAATCCGAAATATTAGAAAATACAAGGAGTCGTCATAAAAAACCGTTAAGTCTTTATGAAAACAATTTTAGCATGGTCAATTTTATGAAGCATGAGTTTTCCGTAAAATATATAAAATTGATCAAAATTTTTTTTTAGTGCTGATCGACTCAGTTTCATGAAGAGATCATTTTATTGTACCTATAGGACAAAAAGAAATCGAGACAGCAGAAGTTAGTGACACGTAAAATATTTTTTCATACAAAACGAATAAATTTGACTATTTTTTTTATTACTATAGACTCATTCAATTCATTTTGTAAGAAAAATGATTTTATTAAATTTTGACCAACTTTTGTCCCGATTTTTTCCGTTCCATACAATGAAATCGAACCCTCCAATGCACACCACGCCAATTTAATATTAATAAGAAAAATCTGTATGTAATATGTCACCCACGGTCCACCCTTTGCCTTAATTATGGCAGATTTTTTTTTAGTAGAGAGCAAACGATTTTTTGCAGTCTTCAGGGCTTATCGCGTCCGTTCCTTGGTGTTTATTGTGTTGCGTCCATCTTTGCGCTTTATAAACCTCATGAGTAAGTGTTCTATGTGTGGATATTAGGTCCGGAGACTGCGCATGCCACTCGGTTATGTTAGTTTTTCGAAATAATGCTATAGCAGGGAGACATATGCATGCCGCATTATCCTTCCGGAATTTAACGTTGTTCATTTTCGTATCGCCAAAAAGGGTTGAAAATTAGGGCTGCAATGCTGATTCTAGAACGTTAATGTATTTTAAGGACGAGTTCGTGCATACCTCGCACAGAAACATAACCGCAACTACTGAATCGATCAAGCAGTCCGCACACTATTATGCTGTCTCGCCATGATTTATGGTTGGTACTACAGTATGGACTCTATTCTTCGCTTATCCGGGGGCGCCTTAGTCATAAGTTTTTGCTAGTTATTATATTTTCATATCCTAAAAAATAAGGCCAGTTTTCTGCAATACTTTCATTCGGATTTCTCAGGGTACTCAATACTTTTGGCCAAGGCTGTAGGTATATATTTAGCACTTATATCTGTTTGGGTAAATATGAGACGCGATACTATTGTCGCAGTGATGTCTACGTGTTGTACAGAATACATGAAACTAGTGCTGCCTGTTGAGACAAGAATAACACAATATCCACTGAATATAGTAACGAACAGTAAAATACTACTCCTGTTTATAGAAGTTTAGATACACATAAGATTTCAAAGTCAAACTGTTGGGATTATGGAACCGAATTTGTATACACCTACTTTGATTACACTTACAAAATTTTCTTACAGCGTAAGTAACCTTTGTAAAAGGATATTTAGATCGCGGAAAAGTGGCGCATGGTAGGTGCTACCCAAAACGTATTGCGCCGGCTAATAACCGTAATAGAAATGAAGATTAAATATATCAGGATTTATATTTAATGAAGTCCGAGTTCAAGTAACATGAGCATTTTCTGTTTACGGAGGCTTCGGTTCGTATCTAACCGCTTCATTTCACGATTTCAAACAATTCTATCCGAGCCGTAATGGCTTATTGTACAACACGAATTCATAACAATACCTATGCTCTAATATCAAAACACCCTCAGTCGTTATATAACAAGGCAACCACGCATTACGTGAATGCTGAAACATTGCACAAATATTTTGTGTAAGGCCAGTTTTGCATTATATTGTATTTTATATAAGTACCTATAATGAAATAATGCTTAATTAGTGCTTTGTAAATCTATGTACATACCTATAATCGATGTAACGCACGTCTATAAATAAATTAATAAAAAGACCTATACAATACTCTTAATTGCACAAATGAACAAATACATAAAAAAGACAGGTACAACAGGCGACCATATTGTTAGATAGCAATATCTTACAGGCAATGTCCATGCTACTTAAAACGTATATAAACCTTGATAAAGATTTTTTATCTCGCTCGTGCTTAATTTTAAAGCGAATCATTTAAAATACTTTTCCACTTGTCTTCTACCTTAGCTATTAAATAAAGAAGTTTGTAAAAAAAGTAGCTTATAAATTGTGATACCTAGAGTATATTGTGATCGAGTCCTAACTTTCTCATAACGTGTGTTGTACGTACATACCAAAGTGCATATGCTCCCGGCAACTATAAAGATCGTCTTCGCGACCATCACTCAGCCAGTTCGAACATCACTACGTAGCCGCGATGTCTTCCACCAAGGTCTACCTTAGCGACCTCTGCGTAATCCTACTTTTCGGCTTCTCATTAATCTTGGCTGATGAAAAATTAAAAACGTGAGTTAAAGTTACCTATGTCTACATTTTTTTTATTTTTGGCGTGTTTTTATTATGGAAGAACCTACATTCAGGTGTTATAATATCACACACCTCTGTTTGCAATTATTTTCAATGGAATCTCATATACAAGCTCTTGTCAAATAAATGTAAATAAAAATCACGACTGTGAAAAAATTTTAAGATTTTTTTGGTATGTCTTAATAACTTACTCTGCATATTATGTATAGTTCAAGCCCTGTAGTGACCGAAGGACCTAAAGGCAACTGTTCCTGTGGAGGATTCTCCACCCCAACGCCAGATGTCAGCATTGCGCCCCTCCTCTCCCAATCACCAGGCCTGGTTATCAAATGTGACAAAGAAGGAGAGAATACATGCAAGAACCTATGTACGGCGCTAGCTACAGCCACTAAAGCCAAAGGCCCGGAGATACTGTGCAATAAACTAAAGGATGCTGATGAATTGAAGGTAAAATTATCACTAAATAAATACCTGTAGTAGGATGCTAATTTTTAATAGATTTTACCTTATAGTCCTTTCAAAACTTTCAACGTTCTATTACAATGTTGACCTGAACTAATCTTAGTACTTATTTAACTGAACAATATGTACTCAATAATTACACCATGTAACACGATTTTTGTTTCTGGGCTATCAATATCATTATCTAATTGGTTAAAAGTTGAAATTTGCGTACCATTAAGGAACGTGCAAATTGGGTTTCTCTATATTTAAAGACAAAAATGGAAGATTATATTAGAAATTAATAGTTTATTTCAACCAAAATTATACTTTATGACAGAGGACCTACAGATGTGTAGAGTTGCGAGATTATGTAAATACGACTATGTAGCTATGTAAATACCACTGTGACAGCCACAAACGCAGAGTTTTTGGGGTATCTTTCCAACACACTTGCTGGTCATTTAAACAGAAACTAATAATATCAATAAGAAACAAAATCTTTTTGAAATATTTATATAGAGTTACTTAGTAATCAGCACCCTGTAAAAATAGGTAAAAACCAATCTAAGATACATTACTGTTGTTAACAGTTATCGGCATTCTTCAAAGTTTGTGACAAGCCATGGGTATACGCAAACTTGACAGCGGACGAGCCTCTATGTTGCGATAACACCAAGGTGAAGGTATGCCCTTCGGTGGAACGCGAGCAGGCTGGTAATGCTACTGTCATTTCTACAACAATTACTACTATAGAACCAAAGTCAGTCATTTAACTTTATATTACTAACTCTATAGCTTTTGTATAAGTGTATTATGAAATAAACAAGTTATTTAAATTATAGTGTCAGTTTATCGACTTTGTAAGATACTCGTAAGTCATAACTAGAAGTGTTGGTCTGTAATCCCTTAGAACTTATTTTTTAATAAAAATTCTGGAAATGGTAGTTTTACACTCATATATTAGTAGTTTCACTCCTCTATTCCACTTTTTATGTGCTACATGGCGCATTATTCCAAAATTCCGGTGTATTGTATTTAAGTTACGACTCTAAAGACGCTCGTAAGCAATAACGTGTTAACTCACAGAAATTCGAAAATTGAGATATTATTGCCAAATTGTAGCTTGACGTCTCCTCTACCTTTTACAAACATAAACTAAGTGATTTGAAACCTCCAAATAATAAAAAATGGTAACAACAGTTGACATAAATCCATTAGTCACAACCACGAAAAAAAAATTTGGCGCCATTTTCTCATAACTATGATCATGATGCTAAGTAATAACGTGTTAACAAATAGGATCATAGGCATCCAATATATGGCCTCCCAATGCTCACAGATTACCTGTCAATGTTAACTTGGAAACTAGTTTACACGTGTTTTGACTAAAATAACTCCGACAGTTTGATGTACAAATGATTTCAAAAAAAGAAACGATTCATGTAAGAAAAAAAAAAGAATTTATTTACAATTCCGTGTACAACATACATACAGTTTAGTACAATGATGCCCAGCGTAATTAACGTACCCAATTATTTATTTACAAAAGCAAACTTAATGTGTAGACCCGAAGCTCACAGAATTATTTTTTTATAGTAATGAACAAACACTGTCACTTTTTAAGTGTAGTATATGTGAAGGATTTGATACAATGTTTTCTATGAAATTCTAGAAAGCTTAGAAACAACCTTACTTTAGACTAAATGGGCACTCATTTTAAGAACAGTTCAATTTCGTAAAAGAGAGGACGATATAAATAATAAAACGTCTAAAACAATTCATAAAAATTGAGGAAGTCGTTGAGTACTTGTTTGATAACAACAAGATGGACAAACAACAACAATTATATCTATATGCAATTTACAATAGTGCAATCAAGTTTCTTTATTTGTACAAAGACTATTAAATGTAATATCGTTTAAATACGCAATGTAAGAAACTGTTTTTTACCATAAGGGTAGTAAAAGGACGTTGGTAATAAAGGCGAAAAAATGCATTGTCCGACTTTGTAACATTAATGAGCCACATATTTTCAAGATAACAAGAATGCGTTGTCCGACTCCGTAACATAAACAAACCGCATTTTCGTTAAAGATTCTTGATATTACAATGCATTTAATTAATGATAACCACATGTAACTAAGTCGCAGAAATGTCCAGCTCAGCAGCTTTATGTCTTCAAGAACATTTGACATCTTTCTCAAATCGAAAAACTAGGTTTATTTTAGCTACCTATGTCCACAGATGGCAATTTGCTTTAAAGAAATGCCGCCGATATTAAGTGGCTTGTTTACACGTAACGAGTAACATGGTTGTCTATGGTCAGTGCTCTGGGTAGTGATCGGCTCAGCAGAAAGCGAGTGAGTCGCATGGACCTTATTTTGTTTAAAGTTGTTTGCAGATGTGTCGACGTAGAAGGTATAGTTGACGTATTATTAATTCGTACCGATTCGACTTCTCGCTTTATCTTTCAAATACAATAGGATAAGAGTGAGGCGTCTCGGTAATGCATGTGTCATCTGTATACTACAAAAATACTAGTTTAAGCATTTTACGCTTTGGTACTTAATTCTAAACTTGATAATCTTTATGTGGGACTAAGTATGCTGAATTAGTAGGAAAAGTTTCGGTAATCGGTATTTTACGAAGTACCCAGTTTAAAACAAAAAAACGACAAGTTTAAAATTACAATTCATAGCATTTAGCGCACCTGCACTTATTACACGTACGATGGACCAAGATCATTGAATTCCGTGTACGCTTTAAGTAAAAGAAGCGTTAATGATTCTATTGTAATGAAAAGGATAAGCCGTTACAAGTGATAATATTAATTGGTGCAAATAATATTTCTTCAACTATACGGTTATACAGCGTTTTTTTTAATGGGACAGTATGGGGCAATCCGAAACCATATGCCTTATTTTGAGGCGGGCGCGGGCGCGGGCGCGCGGGCGCGGGCGCGCGTGCGCGCGCGCCGCGCGAGTAGATCTATTGGCTCGGTCCGCCCGTGCCTTTCACAGTGCTTGAACTAGCATTTAGCGTCTGTTTGCGATTTCGGCGTGCGGATGTAGCCGATTCGGCACTGTGAAAGGAAAGACGCCAAGACCCACGCGCGCGTACCCGCCGCCGCGCCCGCGTCTGCACTCAGAATGAGCACATAGAAGATACAAGGAAACTGTCTTTTACACTAAGTCTTTTTAACATGAAGTCTTTTTTTGTGAAAACAATTTCGGAATAGTCAATTTTTAGTCAAGCGTGAGTTGTCCATAAAAATGAATAAAATAGATTAAATTTTTTTAGTGCTAACCGACTCAGTTTCATGAAAGGAGCATTTCATTGTATGGGACGAAAAAATCAGGACAGCCGAAGTTGGTCAAATTTCATAAAATATTTTTCATACTAAATGAATAAAATCGACTTTTTTTTTAATGCTGTTAAACTCAGTTTCTTATAATAATGAATTTATAGTATTGGAGGAAAATAATCGGGACAGCAGAAGTTGGTCAAAGTTAATAAAATGTGTGTCTGATTAAACTTGACCGACTTAAAAAAAACATTGTATACTAGCTGGTCACACAACACAATGAACTGATCGGAAAATAAAATTTATTTCGAGTTTACATAGCATTATATTTGTTTTTGTTTGAGGAACCATGGTCACGCAGACATAAGACTGCACTTCCTTATTAATATGTAAAAGATATAATTAATGTCGTTAATGATTGATGATTTTATCTCTTTTTCGGTAACGATGTAACCTGTAAAGAGCCCGAAACGATGATTTGTTTGAAAAAATCAATATACGTGATTTAGGTCCGAAAAAAGCAATTTCATTTTCCAAAGTGTAGCAATCGCGAAAATCGAAGAACTTATTACCTATATATTGAACTAATTTGAATCTCTCGAGCAAGTCTCACAACACTGTTTCCACACTAATACTCGTTACGTGATTATGTGTAATCTAATCATATCACACTCTTTGTTCTGCATAAGCGTTATTATACGGTAATGTACAAACCACGCCTCTGGATGAGAGACAAGTTGCAATATAAATGAGGACATAAGCGCAAAAGTGGTGTGTACACCCACACCCACATTAAATTTGCTTTTTCTACAATATTACTTAATATTAAAGTACATAAGTATTGTATAATTGTACGTTATTTTCATGTACAGAGCATTATTTATACATGAAAATAGCATCCAAATGTAAAATTATTATGTTGGAGAGAAAATAAAATGTGGGTTACACCACTTTTGCACCGATAGCTCTAAATAAGAATATTAATCTTCTTAAGAAAAGAAGTGATAAAAATAACGTTAACAAAAAATAAAGGAACAAAAATAAACTGGCTGTTAAGATATTATGGACAAAATGTATTTTCAACAACTATGTATAAGGTCCTATTTTACTAGAAATTGGTTTTTTTAAGCAAAAACAATCGTTTAAAAGATGTATTGAAGTCTTTAAGCGGATAACAATAATACATACTTGCAAAACAGGACCCTGTAGAACCCAAGAACATTTTTTTCTTAATCGTACTTCGTCATTACAGCCATGTTTCTTGTCTTTTATATATTTGTGTTAAAATTATTAAAATCACTTCCCGTTCTAGAACCAAACTATTCTTAAATCAAAATGGTTAGCATGTTACGCAAACACTAATTATCTTCCCGATTGGCACTGAAGAAAAGGAAACGTGAATACGAATGAGGAAGTCAGAGCCCAATGCCCATTATTCACCAAAGCGCAGTGGCCATAACACGTGTAACAACTTATAAAATTAATTCCGTTATTATTACTTAGCGGAGAATAAATGTCAAAAAGTAACGAAATCTCCCCGCAGCGAGGGGCTGGGGCACTCCTGTATCAATAGCCCTGTGTGCACTGTAAATTTTTTGCCCTCCCGCTGTCCACTATGATACAGAAACTGAGTCCTACAAGTACTTTGCTTCTCCGCGTGAGAACCGTGAGTCGAGAGCCTGAGCCTTCTTGATAATGTTCTTTTTCTGTGCTTCGTCGAATCGGTTCACTTGCAAATCAACTTCGCGGCTAAACGGGCGTCGCTCCTTCTTCTCATCTTTGTCTTCCTTCTGGAAAGAGGTTTAAATACATAGATAACAAAAAGGTAAATAACTTCATGTGTCGTTTTAATTTCATGTATACTTAGTTATACAGGGTGTCAGTAGCGGTCATTCACGCCTTCCTACCATTGTGTACGTTCTTTGTAAAAACGATATTCTTCAATATTCACAGTAACGTGCGAAGTGTTTTCGGTAGCGTATCGTGGTACAAGTCACCTTGACGCATAGATGACTTCGGGGGTTGTAAACTTTTAAATAGTTTGATATAACAAATTAACAAAATAGAAATGTGAATATTTCTTTCGTACGCTTAATAGATATAAACCAAAATGGTGAAATTTGACACGCCTCTGGCATGAAAAGTAGGTAAAAACAAACGGGAATAAGCACTGACCTACCAACAAATGGACATCGGGTCCAATACAAAAACCACGATAAAAAATGTCCGAACTTAACCTATATAAACGTAGTGACATGTAACGAAATATAAAAAACTAAAACATTTAATTTAAATTGTAATGTCATTGCAGTACTGCCTAATTTTGCTTGCAACAATTTAAGGGCCCAAAAACACCATATTCAGCTTCTCCAGTAGAACTTAACAAAATCCACCATATTTAGCTTCGACTGAAATTTACTTGAACACAAGAGTAATGGAGTAGCCTTTCTCGTACATGTTAATTAATTTTTATATATATATTATTATGTCGAATTTTGTACAAATTCACTTAAAGAAATAATAAAGAGTTGGGCAGATACATACATACAAATATTACTACAAATGTGAAAATAAGCGAGTACTTCCAGAAATATACCGATGTTCCAACTAAACGTAAACTCAAATATCAGTAATTCCGAAAAATAGGCGCCTTGACGTCGAGTTGCGGACACTAGCCCGTTACACCAAGTACCAAGTAAGTTCCGAAAACCGATTTATAATAAAACCGTTACGCTTTCAAGCAATTTTGATGCTTTTCACAAAGCCAAAATTAGTTTTTGTTTTGTAATATTCCTAAAAAAATACATTTGACATTATGAAAATTCGAGCTAACGTTATTTCGGGCAAATGTATTTTCTGACTTCTGATAGGTAATCCCTAGCCGTAAAACGAGTACAACAATGTTTTGTTAGTTATTGCTAACGTTTAATAAAAAGTCATTTTAAAAATAAGATTAAAATCAACACGACTATAGTTTCTTTGTTCCAAATATTTCAATCGCTTATGGTTCGAACAATTGAAAATGACCAAGAGGTTTATATACGCTTCTTGAAATTGACGTAATGGGTCTCTTTCCATCTTTTGCGCATGCAATCTGTAGAAAAAGGACAATTAGTGATCTAATTATTTTGTTTGCTTTTGTATTTTATATTTACGATTAATTTATATATAAATTAAATACTATACAACTGTACAAAATAACACTTTTAAATGATAACTATTATAACACAATATATTTGTTTAGTGAAAATATGACACAAAATCCTGTTTATACATTTTACTGCAGTAATTTTTACAAGTTATTATTATATTATATAGTACTGCATAATTGACAACCGCGCTGTCAATCGAACAAACGAAGACTGCTGCGCGATTGACGCTCTGTATGCGATTTTAACGCCCTATAGGTGCGGACACTTTTTAGCGCGAACCCGACGTCCATTTATTAATAGGTCAATGGGAATAAGTTAAAATTTACCTCTATAGAGTACCGTACTTTTTTATGGATGTTAAATAACAATTGATTGACATTACATTTTTTATTAATGATAAAAAAGTGGTTTGTTGTTATTAATAAAATTGTAACAAAATATAAACAGTGATATGCCTTAATTTCACACTTTTTAAAGTTATGTCATTGTTTTTATTATGTTACTCAACCTATGTCAAAAATGTGATAGATTTATAGAGACCGGCGATTGGTCGTTGTCGAACAGTGACTTCGGGATAAAAGTCAGGTCAAAGATCGCTATTGACATGTTAAATGGCACAAAAACATATAGTTAACATATTAATGGTTGAAACTGGTTACACGAACTAGCGCGAGGAATAAAAATCACTAGTACTAAATCACAGAAGCAAAACGAATTTACTAAAAAAACATATGGCAATTTACAAATGACGCCATGTGGTACGGCTCGCGAGTAGCAGCGGACTGCTTCGCCGCGGTTGGCATTAAAAAAACAAGATGGAACAGAAAAAAAAACAAAGTAAATGTACCTTATTTTCTAAAATTAAAACTATATTATTTTAAACAATGAGCGCGTTGCTAACAAATACCCCGCCCTAGTTTCTCAATTTTTTTTTAAAAGTGTATGTATAAAAGACTTGTAGACTTCTGTGATAAGTTCAGTATTATAAAACCAGAGCAACACGGTTTCCAAAAGCGGAAATCTACATGATTAGCAATGTATACTCTTATAAAATCAGTACTGATAATTTATTTATTTATTTAATTTATTTAATACAGGAAAAACACAACAAGTCACAAAGAATACTAGGAAAATTAAAACAAAAGGTTCTGCTTATTTCTAATAGAAATTTCTTCCTGCAGACCTAAATCCAGGATACTATAACTAAAAGAACGGGCATAAAAATAATATAATCATATTATATTGTTATAAATTATATAAATACTTAGATAAATACGTATTTTATAACATAATACCTAAGATATGGATGGAATAGTAGATAAATAATGCTCTTTAACTCTCACTTTAAAAATAGCTAACGATTTACTTCCGTGAACAGTAATAGAACTGAACTGGAAAACTCACGTCGAGATTGTATGTTCGAGAATCAATAAGTTTGTATATGCCTTAAAAAAGCTGAAAAATATAACAAAAAGCTGTCATAACCACATTTAGGGCGTATGTAGAATCCATATTACGTTAAGGTCTTATAGTATGGGGTAATAGTACAGATTGAACCAGAGGATTCCAGCTGTGCGTGTTGCAGCAGCAATCGTTCCGCGCTTTCCATTGTGCTGAGGTCAACTTGTCCTATCGACAAGTATAAGGGACTTCCTTATACTTGTCGATAAACTTCAGCACCGCGGCCGCGGCCCGCTTCAAGCGAAGCCAAGAAGAAAATCGTGTTGGGTCTGGTACAGCTGACTCGACTGAAGTCTCCTGTACGATTGCAACGCATTCCGACATCGTAGTATCCGATTGTAGACAACTAATTTTTTTTGGCCGTAAAGATTCGTTATCGTATTAAAAGTTCGGGCCCGCGAACTACTCACCTTGCAGACACTGATCGAAAGTTTCCCGCGTAACTAAATCAGTCACGTTTAACTTAGTAGGTATGGTACTCGTCTACGCGAGACAGCTGGTCGATCTTAACCAGTCGGTTCGCCTCGAACGTTTTCTATGTGCGCGTATTGTTACGAATCCAATACAGAACCGTTGTGGAGTCGCACCAAAAATGTCGGCGCTCCGGAATAATTTATGCTCCTTCCCTATAGTGTGAGCTAACCTTGCCGTTAATAAAGCTGCTTGTAGCTCGGCTCTGGGCACTGTCAATGCCTTTACAGGCATCACTTTGCACTTGCTGGCAATAAAGGCTACTTTAATAATACCGTTACTTTTCCAGCGCCAATAAGTTACCGTGCACATAGCTCGAGTGCTAGCATCGCTAAAAATATGTATATTTAAATTACTATAACCGGCTTCGTTTGTAGCACTAGAGGCTGCCGCTACGGGTTCGTAGCCCCTTGTAGCGCTCGGCGTAAACACACCGTTGTCATATGCGAGCGGCGGCGGCGGCGGCGGCGCCGGCGCGAGAGTTGACAACGTCACACTCGCGACGCCGAGAGATTCCTCAATCGGTTGATCTCGCGTCTCACTCTCTCGCGTGAGCGCTGACATTCCATATCTGTCTGAACTGCGATGGGCTGATATGTAGATATGCGTATATTTTTATTTATATATTTTTATTTATATAATTACCTTAAGTAGGTCAATCCATTTCCGCCATTTGTGATAAATACCATCGGAAATGTAATCGACCCAACCGATATTCAAACGCCAGGTGTCCTGGAGCATGATGCGCCTCAGGGGGTCTACTCTCGATCTCCGTCCGAAACAACTACTGCCAAATAAGCACTACTTGACCAAATGAAAAGACGCGTAATGCTAATGAAGCTTCATTCTTGATACTTGTCTTTTAATTTTGTCGAATATAGTAATATTCGACAAATAAGTATATTTGACTGTAATTATTTCAGACGGATGTCAGACGGAGATCGAGAGTAGACCCCCTGAACCGTGAAAGGTGCTACAAAACCAAATACATCAAAAATCGACATAATAACTTTCAACATTAAACGTTTAGTCGGCCTTTCCTCTCCTTTAATAATGGTCTCTGGTACGCCTTTTAAAGATATATCAAAGCCTAACGTGTCATTTGCAGGATACCAAATGAGACCCAGCGAGCGCTCGCTTTCGTGTTGCTGGTTGACTTTGAACCTTACAGCGGCGGTACCCAAGGTCTCTTTTGGCACGCTGTTTAATACTGTAACACTGTTGCTCGTCCAGTTTCTTATTTCAAAGCCGCCCTGTGAATGTTACTGATATTCTTTACCATTTCGATGGCCGTCGCTTCGTCGGGCAGACTGCCGATGTAGTCATCCATGTAGTGCGATTTGCAGATGGCGTCGCAGCGAGAAACGATGTTTCAAATCGCCGTGCATTCTTATTTTTGACGAACTGCGCGATTTACAGTGAGCAGCTGGCGCCAAAAACAAGGTGACGTCATCGCGTACGTCTTCACATTTTCTGTGGGTCTGGTTCTCCACAGAAACCTCAGCGAGTATTGGTCTTCTGTTCGGATCTTAACCCTGAAGAACATGTCTCGGATGTCACCTGTGACTGCAATACTTTGTTCTCTAAAACGCAGCATTATATTATTAGTCAGGCCCCGTGAGAAAATAAATAATCATTGAGACAAAACCTATTTACCTTACTAGCCGCGTCGAAAACCAGACGGAATTTCTTTTTGTTGGGGTTGT